CAGTTTCTGCTGAAGGTGTAGTGAGTTGCAAGGAGAAAAAACAATGTGCTTTCTCATATACATTGGCATCCCATGCACTTAAAGCCCCAGCTACTGTAGCAGCAGAGAGCTTTTGGAGGCTCGACAAACACTGGGCAAAGGTTGTTGCCCAGAGGAACATATCTGCTGGTGGCCTGGGTAAGCAGCATCTTCCCTCTCTGGCACATGAATCCTGTCCTTTCTCCTGGGATGGCAGTCCCCTCCTGCCTCTACTCCATCAATATCTGGCCAATCTCAGCCCGACAGTTGCTTTTGGGGACTCTGGATGCCAGGGACCCCAAGATGTGCTCATGTCCGTGTTTAGGAGAGAATCATAGAATCATCTGAATTGGAAAGGGCCCTTAAAGGCCATCCGGTCCAACTCCCCTGCAATGAACAGGGACACCCACTGCTCGATTGGGGTGTTCAGAGCCCCTCCAGCCTGAGCTTGGATGTCTCCAGGGATGGGGAATCCACCACCTCTCTGGGTAACAAAACTAAAGGAGGAGCCACTTGGGACCTTGACCATCCTGGGGAGGAGGAGGAGATGATCAAAGTGGTATTTGCATGATATTCTCCTTCTTTCTTTCCAAGCTGCACAGGGGACCAGGGGTATTTTTGAAGTGGTCAAAGCAGAGCTCCCAGAGAAGTGTCTGATCTCTTGGAGATATTTTATTTTTCTGAATTCAGATTATTCACAGCCAGTTTGTATGATGGCATCTGAGCTGCTGCTTGTAATTCTCACTGTCTCGGTGCCAGTGACTTCAGCTGCTCTGCCAACACAAGATGGGATTTTTATTCTGGTTTGTCTTCACTCCCATTCTAAACTTGAGCTGACATGAGATGGTAGAAGCACGCTCAGTCTGGGCAGCTAGATCACCTTTTGGGAAATAGGTTAAAAGAGATGGAAAGAGCCTCTCCAGCACTGATTGAGGTCTAGGGGAGGACATAGGTGGAGTGGAGGGAAGATAACTGGTATGTGCAGGAGTGCAGGTGAATGCTACAGAGCTATCTAGACATATTGATTTCTGTTCTGCACAGTGCCATCATCCCTGTCTGACTTCTAATACAGATTGATGACCCTGCCCTTTTGGCCCATTTGCCCTCTGGCTGCGGGTCAGCTACTCATTTAATTCAGTCAGCCTGTATTTGTGGCAGACCTCATTCCCTGTGGCAGACCTCGTGCCCCAGGGAGGAGCAGTGATGGTCAGGAAGGACAGACACCCCGTTTCCATCTCTTGCTAACAGGGCAGGGTTGAGGTTGGTGTAAAGCATCTGAGTGCCACCAAAACCAGCAGTAGGAGATGTGCCTGGAGTGGCCGAAACATCTGTGGGGTCCTGAAGAACCATGGAGAAGTGGCAGGGTATCAATGCACAGTGTTTGTGGGATGCTAGCTGGGGAGAGCTTCATTCTCTGTTCCCGTTTTTCAGGATAGCACTGGGGCTGTGCATGTTGGCTTATGTAAAAATTTACCCTGGTTATTTCGCCAGAGATGGAAAACAATATCTGTTTGGTATCCTAGAGTTCAAAGGGCTTGGTGCAGCACCCACCAGCTGGCTGAGGTTGATGTGGTCACATTGACCTCTGGTGGCTGCAGCCTCAGCGTGCAAGGAAAGCACCGAGGGAAACTGGGTGGGTTTGATGAGCTGCGGTGTGCTGCAGCTGAAATGCAGTTGGGATGCAGTCCCAGCCTGCTGGCATGGAGGCCCTTAGCCATGGGGCAGCTTTGGAGCAAAGAAGCCCACCTTAGTGACTGAATCCCATAAGCCTGCTCTAATTCAGCTCTCACTTGCCACCCCACACACCTGGATGCCCTGATGAGGACGGAGATGTGTTGTCAACACCTAACCAAGGAGCTCCCACATGCTTCTCCCTCTTTTAGCCCCAGGCAATGGGTGTGTGCGTGAGTGGGAGGAATACTGAAGGAAGCATTCGGTTGTTTTCCTATCTCCACACACATGTGTGCATTTCCTTCCTGCCATGAAGGCCTTGTTCCCCTTTTCTGCAGACATCTGCACTGCCATGGAGAGAGGAAACCACTGCTGTCCTGTTGTGGCCCAGAGAAGCGTTGGGGAGACGAGCAGCCAGAGCCTTTGCACAGGCTGTTGATGTAAGCACTGAGCTCTGTGAGAGATAGTAGGAAAAACAAAAGTGTTTTTTATTCTTTGTGTCTGTTAGTTAAGCTGGTGTGAGACAGTGATCAGACCGTGCTGGAGTCGAGAATTCTGTTTCACGACATCTTCTGAGCATTTGTTCCACAGAGGAACAAAACTGTTGAGAGGTTTTGTGACACCGAGTGGTGTTGGGCAGCCAGTATGGGGAGAGATGGTTCAGGGGGGGTGGTTTCAAGCTCTCTGAAGTCGACCGTGGAGACCAGCTGGAATCTCAGCATACCTCCCTCCTGAAAAATCGTTGGAAGGTGTAAATCTTCACAAACCCCATTCTATGATTTTATGATCCCATGAAAACCAGAAGTATTTTATTGAAGGCATTGCGATTAGCTCCTGTAAAGTAGGAGGATTCTGGGCAGGTTTGTAGACCTCACAGAAGACCCATAGTGTCGTGGGCCATATATGCTAAAGCCTTCCTCTCTCGGTGGAAACACTGCATGGCTCACTGTTTGCTGGCCTGTCATAGGTTTCCTGTGTGAGCCGATGGTGTTTGGAAAGTCTTAACCGTGCAACTATTTTGGTCAGGATTTGAAAAAAAAAGAAAACAAAACATGAAACCACCAACCCAGCCAGACAACAGAGTGCACAGCGGCATTCTTGGTGTGAAGTCAACCGTATCAGCACAGGAGTTGGTACTACTGATAGAGCCAGTGTGGAAACGTGATACCTGTTTGTGTGTGCCTTGTGGTGACATTGGGACAAACTGGTCTAATTTTTGGGTTATGCTGGGGGACTCGATGATTCCTATGGGTTCCTTCTGATTTGGGATATTCTGATTCTGTGATTGAAAGTGGGCTGTCTGGTACAGCTGTCTTCCAAAGGGTGAGATCCTCACCACTGTGCCTCTGTTCCATGGTCAAAATATGGGATGGGACATCTGCATCCTCTCAGGAGCTCTCTGTTGGCCTTTGGGGTGGTCTGCAGCTCTCAGGACTCCTGCCCACCTCTGAGAATAGATGTGACAGATAACACTTGATGTGGGAAGCACTCTGTCTGATTTCTGTCTGATTTCCGTGTGCTCTGAGTCACAAAGCACCGCAGCCATTGCCGGTGGGGTCAGGGCGGGTGGAGGAGAGCCTTCCTTAAGTTTGCTTCTGTCTGGGTGAATGAGAAAAACCAACGCTGTTTGGGACTTTTATTGTAAGGGGCAAAGATCTTATCTTCTATCACTACATAATATCCTGCTCAGGAAATCTTTTCTCTAAAGAGAGAGAGAGAGAGAGAGAGAGACCTGAGATGTTTGCAAGAGAATAACTAGCAGGCACAAATCGACAGGGCTTGAGTCAGAACCCTTCCCTGCAGGCAGCCTTGCTCCTACTTGTTTTTGATCACTCATTTGCAACTGGATGCCTCTGGCTGGAGGTAAGGGCTGGAGATGAAGCCGTGTCCTGCCTGAGGACCTGGCTGGTGGTCCTGCATCCATAGGAAGGGGGCAGGGCGAAGGGGGGGGGGACCCCTAGCAGGGGGAATGGGTGAGTCAGCAGAGAATTAAAACACCCAGGTGTCAGCAGGTGGGACAGATGCCATATGAGAGGAGGCGGTGTTTGCCAGAAGCCTTGCATGTGCGTGTGCCTGGTGTTTTCTCACTGGGTGTGTAACAGCAGAAGTGGTGAAGCTGTGTGATGTACAGAGGAAAATGTTGGGAGTGAGTCTCTAAACTTGTCTTAGATGGGGTTGTGCTCAACTCTGAAAAGGACACGGTGGGGACCAGAGGAAGTGCCTCCACCAGCCCCTGCAGGAGAAACAGAAAGGTTTGGGTCATGCAGGCGGTGGATGCCCCATCCCTGGAGACATCCAAGTTCAGGCTGGAGAGGCTCTGAGCACCCTGGTAGAGCTGTGGGTGTCCCTTTTCATTGCAGGGGAGTTGGACCGGGTGGCCTCTAAGGGTCCCTTCCAACTCAAATGTTTAATTCTGTGATTCTATGATTTTGGGTCCAGGGTGAAACCTACAGCTCTTTTATGGTGGGAGGCTTGATTCATCCCTGGAGCTTGTTCTACACTTTGTTGATTTTCACCTCTCTTGGACCCCTCCTTGTCCTTGTGGCATGGGGCTGGTTTGGGCAAGAAGGAACATGGCAGTGGTGAGAGCAGTCCTTTGTGTGCCCATTGGGGCACTCCAGCCCTGCTCCTGGGGTGGCTGTGCCTGCTGGAGCTGGGCTGGAGGAAGGCTCCCTGCCAAGAAGCCCTATGCTGGGTCTGGGCTCAGTCACACTTCCCGGGGATGCCTCCACACCCAGCTCCACCTGCACACATTGCTGAGGACCAGGGACCGAAATTAAGGCTGGAGCATTTATTCTTGACCTCCACCGGGCTTTTCCCAGCCACTCCCATTTTCTCTTTTTGCTTGAACCCCCTTCCATCCAGAACTGGCCCTACATCTGGAAGGTTCAGGATACAATTTCTGGAAACCCTTCCAACAAAAGAGCCCCGCCTTTGTACCGAGGGAGGCCACACCGGGTACCCCCATTTAACCCCATTCAACAGTGGGGATCTGAAAGCCGTCGTATTTCAGAAGAGAAGTTGCCGGGGAACCACATCCTTCCGGAGATCAGCTTTAGTCCGGAGCAGCAGCTGGAAGAGACAGACGGTCCACGGGCTGAGCAAAACCCTTCCCCGGCTCCCCCAGGTGAGCGGCGGCCGAGGGGAGGCTGCCCCCGCCCCGCCGGTGAGTGTCGGCGAGGGGAGGGCGCGGGGCTGAGCTTCGCATTGCCGGGGGGTGCGGAGGAGGGAGGAAGGGAAGGAGGGAGGAAGGGAGGGGGAAAGGTGCAGCGGGGTGGGGAGAGCGCTGCAGACACACCTGCCGGGGCGGGAGCGGCGGAGCGGGGCGCGGAGATCGGAGCGGGATGGCAGGTAAGGCTGAGCTCCCCGCAGCCCTCGGAGCGCGTCCCCTCCACTTACTGCCTTTGTCCCCCAGTGTGGATTCTGCTTCCGAATGTGGATTTTGCCCCCGAGTACAGATTTTGCTCCCGAGTACAGATTTTGCCTCGGCGACCGCGCTGCTGGAGTTTGTTCCTCTTCCCCTCTTTCCCTCTACGGGTTTCCGACTGCCTTGCACTCCCCACCCCGATCCCAGGAGGATCCCTGCTCCCGGCCCTGCCTGCCGAGAAGCTTCTCGCACAGCAGCTGTGGGTTTTGTGGAGTGAAACTTGGATTTGAAAGCATAAACTTTGACTTAGAGCCCGAGGAGCAGGGCTCAAAACAGCATGACTTCTATTGCATCCTCCCGTATACTCATCTCCCTGTGGGACTGAGCCCATTTCTGCAAGAAATGCAGATTGTTTTCTTTGTTCAACCTCCTTGTCAGCAGGATGATCCAGATTTGTAGCAGCGGTTATGCTCCTAAGCCTTTTGGTGCTGGGAATCAGACACTTGTGTATCTTTTGTGGTTTCGAGAGTCCCCTCGTCCTGTTATCCTCCACCCAGCAGACCCTGAGCCTTCTGTAGTTCTGTTTGGAGGATTACCTTCAGCGCACCTCTCTCAGACACCCTCCTTGCTGTGCTGATTGGCCTTCTGAAATAGTGCGATACCATTCCCAACAATAGAGAAAAAAAAGAAAAAAAAGAGGAAGATTTTCTTCCTTCTGCCTTCATGCAACATGAACCTCTGCACTGCGCGAGTTGGACTCAATGATCCTTATGTGTCCCTTACAACTTGGGATATTCTATGATTCTATGACTGCTGCTCAGGATGTTGGTGGCTGGGGTAGGAAAGCTGCCCTCGTTGCCAGCACCAGAACAGGAGGTTATGGCACCCTCAGTGAAGGAGTTGGATGTACTTTGCCTGCTATAAAAGGATTTGTGTTGGCTGGTGTCGTGAGTGTTGTTTCTCAACTGAAAATTGATGCTCTGGTTGGGTTGATACCTGAGTGAGAAAAGAGGATATGGATACCTGCTCCATTGCTTCATCCATGGGGCACATTCACCAGCTGTAAGAGGCTTTGGCCTGTTGACTTCAGGAGGTCCTTCTTGCTTTGGTAGACGGAATGATTGCCTTGTAGCTTTGCCTTGTTGCTGAGTATTTGCAGTGCTCTGCACACACGTGTGGAAGATGCATGGAAGATTCACTTTTGACATCCCCCCTTTGGCTCCACTACCTGCAGCCAAGCTGCTTCATTGCACACTGTTCTTGAGACCTTCAGTTCAGTCACTGTTGCCTGGAGGCGGTGCACAGGGCAAATGGATCCCCAGAGAAACACACCCCTCTTACCCCAGTATGAGAAACATGTCTCAGGCGTAAATACTTTTATGCTCGAGTTTTCACTTCTCTGGAATAGGGGAATAGGGGAAGATGTGTGGTGGTCCGGGGAATTCAGGTTGGATATTAGGAAAAATTTCTTCTTACAAAGAGTAGTGATGCACTGGCACAGGCTGCCCAGGGAAATGGTGCAGTCACCATCCCTGGAGGTGCTCAAGAACCGTGTGGATGTGGCACTGAGGGACGTGGTCAGTGGGCATGGTGGGCAGGGGTGATGGTTTGACTGGGTGATCTTAGAGGTCTTTTCCAACCTTAATGATTCTATGATTCTACGATTTAAGAACACTATGGTGTGAAGATGTTATCTTCCCCAGTCTTCTTATAGTATATGCTCCTAAATTCCTTATGCCCCACTGCCTCCGTATAAGACAGTAGTTGAGCCTACTAAGATCCTACTGGACAGAGTTGTTTGTAAAATAACTTTTGACATATCTGAGTCCTGGTTGATGATTGAACCGTTTGCAGAATCGTACCTTGACTTGTCCTCCCACGTATTTTGTCCTTTGCTTATTCATTTCTCCTCAGATTTTCTCTTTCTTTTTATCTTCCCAGCCCTGGAGAATGCCTCTCTCCAAGCCTGCAGCCTCTCGGAGCAGGAAGAGGAAGAAGATGCTCTCTGGGAGAAGATAGAGAGCGCACGGCACCAGCTGACCCGCTCCCTGAACCCTGCAAAACTCACCCCGTACCTGCGCCAATGCCGTGTGATAGATGAGCAGGATGAAGAGGAGGTGCTCAATTCATGCCGATTCCCTTGCAAAAGCAACCAGACAGGTGGGAGAAAGCACAGACTGGCAAGCAGTGCTCTCCCCCCCATTCCCTTCTCCAACCCCTCCATTTCATGGAGGGAAGTAGAATTGGTGGAGATGCTTTTTTGTATTGCCCTAACTCCTTGTCTGTTCTTCCAGGCTACCTGATGGACATCCTTCGGCGCCGGGGGAAGCGAGGCTATGAAGCCTTCCTGGAGTCTTTGGAGTTTTACTACCCAGAGCACTACACACGACTAACAGGGAGGGAACCGGCCCAGCGCTGCTCCATGATCCTGGGTAGGGGCAGTGCTCGTCTTCCCTTCAACTGCTGCATGGGAAGGGCCAGAAATATGTGCATGGGCGCGTGCATGCATAAACCCCTGGTTCATGGTCCCTGTGTGCAAGGAACCTTGACAGTCGTGTGCTCTGGATCTGGCAGGGTGCAGACTGAATGCATGCGTGCAATGGACCGAGGGGACCAAATGCGTTTGTGTAATGGTCCGTGGTGCCGCTAACCCAGGCTGCACGCCTCCAGGAGGCTGTGACGCCCTGTGATGGGTGCTTTTTGGGAGTTACCCATTTCAGCAGCCATATCTGAGTCTTCTTCGTCTCCTCCAGATGAAGAAGGCCCCGAGGGGCTAATGCAGTTCTTGCTGGTGGAAGTGAAGAAGATGAGGGTTCAGAGGAAAGAGCACCTGCTGAAGGAACATCAGCTCCAGGCAAAGAACCAAACCCTGGAGCAAGAGCAAGCCCGGCTGGAGCAGCGACTGCAGGAGCTCCTGAAGGTGCAAGAGCGTTGCCAGCGACTGCGGGAGGAGTGGGACTCCAACAGTGTGGAGCTGCTGAGGCTGAAGGATGAGAATTACATGATGGCCATGCGCTATGCGCAGCTCTGTGAGGAAAAGAACATGGCTGTGCTGCGGAGCCGTGACCTGCAACTGCTGGTAGGGTGTTGGGAGATGGCTCATCAGTGGGGCAGGGGGGTCCCATAGCAGTGGGGTTGAATGGCCCAGGGGGACATTCAGCTTGCCCATGTCTTTGGAGACATTCATGGTCAGGCTGGAGGGGCTCTAGGTTACCTGATCTGGCTGTAGGTGCCCCTGTTCATGGCAGGGGAGTTAGACTTGCTGCCTGTAGCAGCGCTTTGGCCAAGAGTCATCCCCCTCCCCGGCACTCCCCATTGCCTCCTCGTCCTCTGCTGACGTTTCGGAGACTCATGCTGCATACCTGAAAGAATTAATGACACTGCACTCCAGCTGCCAAGCTCTCAGCTCCAGCAAACATGCACCCGTTTCCTGTCTGGGCAAGGACCAAAATACCTGGAACCTCTTAATAACCCAGCTCCAGGTGGTGCCTCCTGGCATTCCCCTCCTGCTTTGGGCTTCTCACACAGCCTTGCGGTTCTCATTCCCTATCTCATTCTGCTCCTGCCAGAATCCTTCGCTACCTTTTATCTGTTGTTCCTGCCTGCGCTCATTCTCCCAGACCTCCTCTGAGCAGAGAACTGAATTGCTTGTGGATGAGGCACTGGCATAGGCTGCCCAGGAAGGTGGTGGATTCACCATCCCTGGAGGTGTTCCAGGACCACGTGGATGTGGCACTGAGGGACATGGTCAGAGGGCATGATGGGGATGGGCTGATGGTTGGATTCAATGACCTTAGTGGTATTTTCCAACTTTAATGATTCTATGATTCTATGATCCTAACAATGGGATGGAGAAACCCTGTGGAAACGGGGGCACTCTGCTGTGGATGTATCTCAGCTGCTCCAGATCTAGGAAGCCCTCGAGGAGACTCCCAGCTACCCACGCTGGCAGCACACCTGGGGGCCCTGGTCCATGCAGTGTCAAGGCCAGTTGCACAGTGGATGCCCTAAGGTAGCAAGAAAGTTGTTGCACAAAGTGAGGAGTCAGAGATCGAAAGTGCTTATGCAAAAATTTGATGTATGTGCACCCTCCTCTCCTCTCCTGCAGGGAAAAGCTTTAGTGTGCAGCGTGCTAACTTTTCCCTAGCTGAAGGATTCTCCCTCATGTGGTTGCCCAGCTTGCTTTCCTCACCTCCAGGCCATTTTTCCGCCCAGCTCCCATTCTCCCATGGCGGCAGAAGTTCCAAGGCACGTTTGTCAGGCTATGTGTTCTCTCTGGCTCACAGGTGGACCAGCTGAAGTGCAAAGTCACCAGCCTGGAGGAGGAGTGCAGCCTGCTGAGGAAGCAAGCGACTACCATGCCCCAACGGGATGCAGAGGAGCGAAGCCACCCTGACGCTATGTCTGAACTGTGGGCTGAGAATCAGCGGCTGACGGCATCACTGCAGGAGCTGCAGGGCATGCTGCAGGTACCCCATGGGGAAGAATGGTTTGGGTTGGCATGGGGCTTTGCATCCATCTGGTCCAAGCAGGGACACCCAGAGTGGGGTGCTCAGGGCCACATCCAGGTGGGTTTTGAAGGTGTCCAAGCTCCAGTGATGATTATGGCCGTTTTTCAAGCCTGCCCTTTGCTCATCTGCTGGGCTGGGCTAAGCTGGAGGTGCTGGCAATGTGGTGAAGGCATCTCCTCATCTCTTAGACTCCAGGCGAGGTCCCAGTGCCAGGCTCTGAGCAGATCTTGCTGGACATCCTGGAGCACGACTGGAAGGAAGCCCAAGATGACCGACAGGACCTCTGCCAGAAACTCAACTCCCTGCAGAGTGAGCTGCAGTGGGCTGAGGAGCTGAGGGATAAGGTAAAGCATCCATCACCACCACCCTTTTCCTGGCATGCAGCCACAGCAGTCACTTCTGACTAAGTGGCTAATGTTCACTGCTCACTGTTGCCAGTACCTACAGGAGGTGGAAGACCTGCAGCTGAAATATCGAACGCTGCAAAAGGACTGCGATCTCTACAAGCACCGCATGAACACAGTACTGCTGCAGCTGGAGGAGATTGAGAAGGAGCGGGACCAGGTGAAGTGCTCTCTGCCTGCCAGCAGAATCAGGGCTTTTGGCTTTGCTCTGGGTACCTCTCCTTCCCCAGTGAGTCTTCTCTATCAGTGGGAAGTGGGTTTTGTAGTGTGGTCCTTCTCACCCCCAGCGTGGCTCCTTGTAGGCTATCCAGAGCCGAGATGGGGTGCAGCTGCAATACTCCCAGAGCCTGATTGAGAAGGATCAGTACCGCAAACGTGTGCGGGCCCTGGAGGAGGAGAGGGATGAGCTGCTGAGCAAGCTGAGCCGGGTGGAAGGGCTAAACAGCACGCTGGAAGCACAGCTGCAGCGGTGCCGGGGCAACCGCAGCCTGGGCAAGGTGAGCAGGGCTGGAGAGAAGAGGGAGCTGAGGACAGGGTTAATCTCAGGGGGAATGCAAGAGAATGATGAGTCCCTTCTCTCTCAGATGTGCAGCTCTTCCTACTCCCTCTGCTCCAACCTCAGCAGCACATGGAGCCTTGTGGACAAGCCTTCTGACCTAACAAGTGGACTCACTGACCCGCTGGATGTTTCTGCCATCACCTTCCCGGGGGACTCTGCCATTCAGAGCATGGTAAGCACTGCACCATGAGGATCTGGCACTGATCAGTGGGGCAGTGGGGACACACTACGGGGCTTTGACTTGGTGGAAGGCTTGGTGTGGGGCAGGGAGCCACACTCAACTGGTGGGAGAGTGGGGCGAGTAAAACTCTTAGAATCATAGAAACATAGAACCATTAAGGCTGGAAAAGTCCACTGAGATTATTTAGTCCAACCATCAACCCATCAGCACCGTTTCCACTAACCATGCCCGTCAGTGCCACAACTGGCAACCTAGAAATCAACATCCCCATATAAGGTTGTTGTTCTCCCCAGAAAGCTTTGTAATCACACCCTGGGGGGTGTACATTACAAAAAGATGGGGATACAGTGGCAGGTGTCTCCATTCCTGCTGTCTCCTTGGGAAAGCAAAAGGCCCCTGGGTGTTAGTGTAATTCTGAAGAGAGGTACCCCAGGAGCAACCTAGCCCAAAGGAAGGAGAGGTGCTGGTGCAAGCAGGCATCTCTCTCGTATTCTGCCCAAGGAGGGGACTCCTGACAGCGAGAAGGACATCAACCGCCTCTCTACCTTCCCCTTCCCTCCTTGCATTGGCTCCATCCTTCGGCGGCAGCGCGAAGATAGGTGCATACCCTACAAAAGGTGACTACTTGAGTTGGGGTCTCATCCAGGGTTTGTGAGGGCTGGAATGTGCAGTTTTGCTATGGGAAACCTGGAGTGGGAGCTGAGGGTGAAAACTTCTGTGTCAGAATTGGTGGAAAGCTGTGGGGATGGAGTTGAGAATGGGATGCAAACAGGCTTTGAAATAGCTGCTACCTCATCTCACCATTGTGTTTCCTCTACAGCTTGTCCTGTGGCTCCTTTAGCAACATGGAAGATACAACAGGTACTAGGGTGGGAGCTTTCCCCAAAGAGTTTAGCAAGGGAGAAGTGGTGGGGTTAGGGATAGAACAGCATTCCAAGAGGTGATGTGCCCTCTCTCTTCCTTTTGCTCTCTTTCCTAGGCAGTGGTTTTGTTAGCATCCCACCTGGGGCCTTCTCCTCCTCTTCCAGCAGTACCTACACCAGAGTGAAGTCAGAGACCTGCTTGTCTATGCTTACCAGCCACCAAGAGATCTCCAGGAGGTACTTCCTCCAGGAGGAGGACCATGACCCGCTGCTTGGGGGAATGTATTCTGGTGCTGAGGAGTCATGCCTGGGAAGCTGTTTGTCCTGCAAGTCCTTCCCTGATAGCAAGGGAGAAGATAAACATATTGGGCTTAGTGGGGTAGAGAGGCATGTGGGGATTCACAAACTCTGTGCACCTGCCCTGGTGATGGACCATGAGCCATGGGAATCTAGTCTTTACAAAGGGCAGCAAGCTTCAGTTGCTGGTGTTTCTCTTTGCCAGGTCACTGGTGGTGCAGCTCACGAGCATGGGTCACCCCAGCAGCCTGTCGCCCCATGAGAAGAGGCTGGGAGCAGACATCTCCATCCTTGGAGGGAACAAGACGGGGATTTATGTCCAGTGGGTCAAGCCAGGCTCAGAAGTTGAGAGCACAGGACTCAGGGAAGGGTGCCGGCTCATTGAGGTGGGTCTGGGAATGGGATCATGCTGGAGATGTGCACTGGACCTGGAATGCATGAGCATGGAGTGAGGCCCAGTGTGAACTGGCTTCTGGTTCGCTTGAAGCCCTCCTCTATCTCTCTTGTTTTCCAGTTCTGCTCTTTGCCTACAGCTTCATGCAGCTTGAACAGGCATAGAGTCCTCTGCACTCAAACATGCCAGTGTATGTGATGATGCTCAGTCTTGCTGAAATGCTTCCTTCAGGTGTGAAAGGGGAAATCAAAAAAGGAGCCACATGGATTAAGGCAGCAATATGACTGTCTCCCTGGAGCTTCCTGTCCTTGTAGTATTGCAGAGCAGTTTGCGTTCTGCATATGCCTGTTGCAAAACAATCAATTCTGGAGAGACATCTCGCAGGCTTTCATGACCCTCTCAGAGAATAACTGCTGTGAAGAGAGCTCCTGGAAGGAGGGAAGGGCATTTGTTTTGGCAAGAATGACACCACTTTAAATACAGCCACGGTGCTTGAATTGATATCCCACCTGTAGCTGAAAATAACCCAGCTTCCCCGCCTCTGCTCCCACACGTGTTTGTGCACATGTGTTTGCTTTCATTATCAGCCCAGCATTCAAACTGGGGGGTGGCTGACAGCAGCAGTTTCAGAGGCAGAGGAGAGAATCAGAGGCTGATGAGGATGCTTGTCCTCAGGCAGAGCTTGCCCTGGGCCTGTACCATCTCTTGGTTAAACCTGATGGGTGAGGAGCGGAGGGGAGCCTGCACTTCCAGATCTAATAGCATCCATTCTGTGCTAGCTGAGGGTCCCATCACTGAAGGAAGAGGTGCTTTCCCTGGAGAACTGTACACGTGAGGTTGCTTACCTGAGCCTGCTGCATTGGGATGAGCCCTCCAGCCTTGTCTTCCAGCTAGACCTGCAAGGTAAGGCCCTGGCAGCTGGATTTCCTTCCAGCCTGAGCTCTTTGCTTCCCTTTGCAAGCCTTTCACCCAGCCCTGGAGGTAAGTCTCAGCTATTCTCTGTCTTCTTCTCTTTGGTCCTAGGCTACCAGGTGTGATACTGGGCTTGGCCATAGCACTGGTTATTTTCCTATCTGGTGTCACATGTCCTCTGTTACATAATGGAGGTACAGACCTTCTGTCTGTTTTCCTCTGCATCCCCCTCCGAACCGTAACATCAGAGATGTGCTGGAGGCTTGGCTATCTTGTCGGTTATGGTTGTGTCTACCGTGTCCCCACCTGTAGTGACCTACATCCCTTACTCCAGGGTACCAGCCTCTGCAGGAAGCCCTGGAAGAAGGGAAGAAGTTTTCTGGAGACTCCTTCTACATCCGTACCAACCTGTCCCTCCTGGAGCCATCAGACCCTTATGCACTATGTGTCAAATGTCGGGAGATCCTCCACGTCACAGACACCATGTACAAGGGCCGGCTGGAGTGGTACTGTTCCCGTGTTGATCCCTTGACCATGCGGGACTTGGACAAGGGGACGGTGCCCAACTACAGCAGGTAACAGAGGAAGGAGGAAAGCAGGGATGTACATGGTGTGCTTGCTTCGTTTCTTTGTGGAGAGCCTTTCTGAGGAGTTCAGAAGCGTGTGGGTTTGCCTTTTCATTGTGTGGGATTTCCAAGCCTTAAAACTTGTGCTGGGGACCAGTGCTGTAGTTTTTGGGTGCCCTTGACAGACAGGGAGGTTGAGTGAGGGTGTTGATATACCTGTGGGGTTTGGGAAGGAGCATCACAGCCAACTGTGGTCCCTGAGGTCTCTAGAATTGCTTGATTTCAACACCATTGTCTTTTCAGGGCACACCAGCTTTTGAAGATCCAGGAGAAGGTCCACATACCTGGGCAGCAGAAGGGCCACAGAAGTAACGTAAGCCAGAGAAGCCAGCAAGGAAAGTTTTTGTAACACACTTTTGTAATGGTCAATGTTCTCAACCTTGTTGCACTCCCTTCCTCCTCAGCTAAAGAAACGGGCCTTGGACCAACTGCGCTTGGTGAAATCCAAACAGCAGAAGAACTCAGAACAGCCCTGTCAGCAGCTGTGGCTGGACCCCTGCTCAGGTGAGCTGCTAGCTGTGTTGTCTAATTGTGTCTGGGGATCCAGCCATCCCCCGTGAGAGGACATCAGCAAATGGGATGCTTTAGTCTCCCTGGCCAGGGCCCTTCTAATGAGATTTTGAGAAGGCAATTCATATTTTAAAAACTCCTGCTCTTAGGCTTTCTGGGGCTTTCCAACATTTCTGTAATTCCTGGGATCTTCTAAGGTTTTATGGAGAGAGAAGAGGTCACTATGGTCATAAGGTCGCTACTGGTGTCCAGCTCCAGTGAAGCCCAGGGAATGGAAAGAGGGTTGTAAAAGCCAAGGCAGTGATGTAACCAGGGAAGGGTCTCTGCTTGAGATGCCTGGTAGGTGTCTCCATGAGTGATGATAGAGGCTGGTGCAGGAAGAACTGAATGGTCTGTGGGATGGTGGCAGACTGCTCTCTCAAATTCTCACCTTTGTCTTTCTCTTTTTTCTTCCTGTCTTTCAGACCCAGACAGGAGACTGAAGCCTTACAGCCTGGTGCACCCTGTGGTGGTCAAGACACCCCGTCCCGTGGTGCTGTCACCCAGCTGCATCGCATCACGGCTCATCAGGAACCTGCTGGACTTGCCCACCTCTCGCCTGAACTTCCACGTGTGCCCAGCAGGTAGGCAGTTAAGAGTGGCAGACACATACAAAGTTGCTTTAGGAGCCCATGGCTAAGTGACATACAGCGTGCAACTTGCCTGCTTTCTACGTAAAAGGGGCTGTTTTCACTTTGTTGCCTCCTGTCACTTCCTAGCCATGAGGAAGGAAGAAAACATGCTGCTCAAGGAGGTAATTTCTGTGGAGGCCTTGGAAAGTCCAGTTCAAGGAATAAGTCCTGAAGTAAGAGATGTGTACACATGGGATTCTTGGAGAGGACACAAGGTGCATCTTCAGTAGTTAATTGTGGGGGTATTTCAGCCTTCCCAGATGATAACCATTGAGCCAATTTTTGGGCCAATGCTAGGCATTCCCTCCTGTTCTTAATCGGATCCTATCCCTTTGGCCTTCAGGGAGGCTAGTCCTCCATTCTGGTCTTCATGAGACATGGGGATCCTCTTGTTTCCTTGAGTGGGTGATGGTGGCACTGCCTTGCTGCTCTGGTGGCTCTTCCAAGGGCTGAAGCCCTTGCCTGAGATGGGATGTGTAGGTTGACTTCACTCCTGCCTTTCCTCCTTGGGAATGACATTATCCTTCTTTCCACCAGTGACCTGAGACTGTCACACCACTGTAGGAGCTGTAGGAAAAAAGCTTTTCTCCCATACAATGTTTTCACACAGGACAAATTCTACTTCCTGCCTCCTTCATCCTCCTTTTCCCATCTCTCTCCTTTCCCATGTTTAGAGTTCATGCTTTGCCAGCTGCTGGGCTGAAAAATGAACTGGCATACTTTTAGGGGATGGTGAAAAAGCTATTCTGCTGAAAAAGGATGGCTCTGCAAAAATGTGGTGGCTGGGCTTCTTAGCTGAGTGACTTGACCATATATCCTGTCCTACTGAGCCCTCTGCAGGGTCCCCCTAACATTGCACGGGAACGTGCTTCAAAGCCATTTACTGCAGCTGGAGTGCCTGCTTCAGCCATACTAAGATTCAGAGCTTCCTACTACCGTTTGTGGTCTCTGTGTGAGTTGCCTCGTCTTCTGCTGGAATTGCTGGGGGCACGTGGCGTGCACTGATCATGCCAGACTTCACTGTCCCACCAACTCTACTCCCAGTTCTCTGTCTCGGCATCACCTTTCTGCTGCTCTGCTGCATGGCATGGTCTGAGGTGCCATCTTTCCACCTCTGAGCAGAGAGAGGTGGTTTGAGTTGACACCAACAGGAGGTTCAGCTTGCTCCCCACCTTCCTCCCAATCTCCTGTGCCAAAATGTGTGCTCTCCCTGCTTCCCCAGTCATCTGTGAGCTCATGCAGCTCACCAGCCTTGCAGATATATTACCTGGCAAAATAAAATAATTCATTTTCTGCTATGTTTCATCAAGGAGGGGCTGGAGCAGTGTAGAAGGGGGGTCAGATATGGGAGACAGCTTTGGATGCTGCTGTACCACAACACAAGAGCTGCTCTTGCCCTGCAAGGTCTTCAGCTGTGATATCTTGCTTGTTCTGTAAGCAGAAAGCAGCAGGAAATCCATGCCAACGTGTAATGCTGTGTAATTAGACTAGCTCGACAGAATCCGTAAACACTGAACTCAGTGAGCATCAGCACCATAGCAAGCATGCAGAATCTGAGGTAGAATGTACAAGAGGGAGATGAGGATGTTGCCTCCCTCTTCATCTCTCCTTTCTCTCTTCCCTTGCAGAGAAGCTGACAGAAGGGAACCCCAGTGCTGCCCATGTGCAGGAGCCCCCTGTGTCTAGAAATGCCCCCCAGGATCGAAGGGAGAACAGTCAAGTCTGCACGATCCAGGAAGCAACGGAGAAGGTGCTGAGTGGTTTGGGGAGAGAAGGCTGGGATGGGGTACCATGTTCAGGTGGGAAGAAAGGGTGGGACAAGGGAAGGCAATTGTCTATTTTAGGGCTGTGTGATTTGGAGGGTCGAGGTGCTGTGGGTCTGGGAATCGGTGACTGTGGTCTTTTCCCTGAGTCTCTTTCAAGACCTGGTGAGAGAAATGGGAACTGGGAACTGGTAGGGGAGAGAGTGGGAAGTGCCATACGCAGAAGCAACCTCTCTGTTTTCATGTTCCTCGTTTTAAAGAAAGCAGCAAGAGCTCTGTTGAGGGCAAATGGAGAAATGTGGGGCTGTTGGTGACAATGATAAGAAAAGGGATAAGAAGATGGGCTGAGGCTGAGTGAGACATCTGGTGGGCTCTTGGGCTGGGCTGGCTGTGATGGAGTGGGTGACCCTGCTCTGTAATTCTCTCCTTCCATCTTGGCCTTGTCTGTAAATCCCACATTTAATGGAATTACTATTGGAAAAGCAATGATATTTCACAGTATGGGGTTTGATTTAATGCATCTGTCAGGGGCTGGAGCTATTTCTTCTCCACTTAAATCAGTAAATCTATTCAATTTCCTTCCAGAATAAACACTGCCTGCTGGAGCTGGGAGTTCAGAGTGTGAGGGATCTAATTAAACGTGAGATATACCCCATTGTTATCCACGTTGAGGTCACTGAGAAGAACATCAGGGGGCTCAGGTAAGATAAGACCATGTGGATGGATGGAGGGCATTGCAAGCGGGCGAAGAATCACAGAATCATAGCATTGTTTGAGTTGGAAGTTGTTCCCTTAAAAGTCTCGTAGTCCAACTCCCCTGCAATGAACAGGACACCCACAGCTCGATCAGGGTGTTCAGAGCCCCTCCAGCCTGACCTTGGATTTCTCCAGGAATGGGGCATCCACACCACTGGGCAACCTGTTCCAGTTCTTCACTGTTCTTATCATAAAAACTGTTTCCTTATATGCAATCTGAACGTCCCTTCTTTTAGTTTGAAACCGTTTCTGCTTGTCCTATCACAACATACCTCGCTAAAGAATCTGTCCAGTTCTTTCTTATAGCCCCTCTGTTCAGAAGGTTCAGAGAGGGTTGGCAGCAATAGAGGCATGTATGTTTCTTGGTTTTGGTTGTTGTGAGGGGAAAAGAAGGGCGAAAAAATCATTTTGTGTGCACATGAGAAGGTTCTTGTTTGGGGCAACGTTGGTGTTTTCCAACTCCATCTGTCTATGTGAAGATGATGTTTGTTTCTGTGTTCCCCAGGAGCTTGCTGGGGCAGCCAGGCCAACGAGACGCAGAGGTGCTGAAGGCATGCCGTGGTGCTGAGAGGGCTCTCCATGCCCTGCCCTGCTCCTGGGCCCGCGTGGAACCCCATGCCTGGAGCCACGCAGAAGAACTGCCCAAGGTGGTACGGGGCTGCATCTTCCAGGAGCAAAACCGCCCGCTGTGGGTTGAGGATGGTGATGACTGAATCAGGAGGTACAGAGCCTTCCCCAGGAGTTGTCCTTCATGTAGCATGTCCTCTCTCTCCAAGGGGAAGCCAGCAGTAATGGGACCAAGTAGCATTTAAGGTCCACTTGAAGCTATGAAGAGTTGGGGACGTAATGAATGCTGACCCACGCGCCTGAGCTTTCCATATTTGATTGGAGAGAAGTCTTCCACCTTCTTGCTGGACATCTCATGGACTGTTCCCCATCACCTTGAGCCTTTGGCTCTGGTACATGGTGAGACCGGGAACACGAGGAAAACATGTGAGATGAGGTTGATCAGGAGCATATCTCATTTGTGCACAGTTTAGTGCACTAAAACCCTTCTCTCATCACCTCTATTTTCCCTTCTCTACCTCATCTCCTGCCCCACGGAGTAGGAAACACAGTTTGTCTGCAGAAACCCTGCTGCAGCCATGACTGACACTAAGTTTGCAACCAACCCTCGTTTTATGGGAGCTGTACTCTTTATTGCTTGTAAATTATTAATGGGCCCTTTTATCGGCAACCCGTGTGCAAAGGAGAATTAAATACCATTCATAATGGGAATGGGAGGCTGGCTGCAGACTTGCGTGTTAATGGGAAGGCTTGGATGATATGTGGGCATGTTTTTCTCCTGAGACACATCTGCCCAGCCCTGTAGGGGTAGAAGACAGCATTGCTGTTGTAGGGAAGCAAGAGGGACAGGGAGAGGATAGGTTGAGCGTGCCACAGGCTGGGCTTCCTCATGTTTCTTCTAATCCCCCATTTTTCAGCTGCTTCCCTCTCCCCAGTGCTGAAGGTGCTCTAGTTCAGCCAAGGAGAAGCATAGAATCACCAAGGTTGGAAAAGTCCTCTAAGATAATGTAGTCCAGCTGTCCACCTACCACCCATACTTCCCATTAAACCATGTCCCGAAGTACCACATCTACATGTTTCTTGAACACTTCCAGAGATAGTGTTTACACCATTTCCCTGTGCAGATTGTTCCAGTGTCCAGCCACGCCTAGGGAGAAGAAATTTTTCCCAATATCCAAATTACATGTTGAGAAGGTTACTTGGTGTCTGGCTGAGGTTCCTAGAGCTTCAAATCCCTCTATATCCTGGTTATCACAAAGTGAAAAGCCAACCATCTTGTCCTTCTCATGGACAAGGTTAAGTATTTGAAGGATAGATGGTTTCCTGAGCCATGCAAAAGGAAAATGGGGGCTGTGGCTGTGGGAATCTCTATGGTGCAGGAGACCGGGCAGTGGGCTGGGGTCAACGGGAAAACCAATGAGCCACCAGCACATACAGACTCTAGATCTCCATATCCTCCTCGCCCCTATGATTAGGGAACTGATACTGCTATGCACTTCTGAAGTTCCAAGTAAAGATTAACTTGCTGATCTTCATGGGTCCCTTGTGAGGTGTTATTTCAGGCTCTAAAACAGTTGTCTCTGTCTTTTATGAGGACAAGAGTGAAAGGGGGGAGGAAAGAAAAAGAATACTTTAACCTGCAGTCACTTAAATGTAGAGCAAAGTCCCAGATCTGCCCTGGAGCTGTGCAGCTATGGAGGGGATTGGTGTAAAGGGGCTCCAGCCAGGAGGTCCCCAGTGCTGTCCCCTCCAGGGGACCAGCCCAGGCATCCCAGCACTGTCAGCCCTGGGAGGGCAGATGCCCTGCAGGTGAGCAAAGCGGGGCTCTTGTTGAGCAGATGAGAAGACAGTCCCAAAGCACGCTGGGTTTGCAAGGGAAGGAGGTTGGAGCCTGCAGCTTTTCAGGGGAAAAAATGAAGTTTGAGTACCGAGGGAAAATACTGCTTGTGAGGCACTGATTCAAAGCTTGACAACTCCTCCTGCCCTCTGGCATTGGAGCTGTCACCAGCCTCATGGCTGGGTTGATTACAGAGCAATACCCCCAGCTTTGAGGAGCTACTACTCCCCAGCAAAACAGACTTCTCCACACATCTCCCTGAGTCGTCTGTGTTTCACTGGGAGGGAAACTGAGGCAAAGCAAAGTTGCATTGAGAGGCAGGTTGCTGCTCCAGCCTTCTCTAAACCCTCCTTTTATCCATCTTGTCTCCCTGGAGGCTTTCAGAATCCAGCTGCAACTAGCCCTGGACATGGTTGAGAAAAGGGGCAGAGGACTCTGAGACAAACATAATACTCCCCTGCCCTGCGCACCCCTGCCCACCTCAGTTGTGTCCCCAGGGGTGCAGCTGTGTGCTCAGAGGAATGAGTCACGGGTTAGGTAATGGGCAGAATGCAATTAGCAGCCCTGGGCATCAATTACCAGCTGTGCCAGCCTTGCATAAACCCTTGTAAAGTCAACGAGAGCAAATTTTCTCCCTCCAGGGAGGGCAGGGGCCAAGTGGTGTGTGTGTCACGGCAGGAGGCCACCAGCCCTTCCCCATGCTGTCCCAAGCAGAGCTGAAGCAGCTTTAGGTCACTTCTAGCTTACGGCATGTTTGGGTTTGCACTTGGTTGGGTAGAACCTGCTCTACTGCTCAACAACATCCTTTGCACAAGGTGGTTTGGCTCACCCTGGCAGCCCCCAGTGGGCTTTTGTGGGGACCCTCCACCTGTGTCCCCCTTTCTTTCCCGGAAGATCTCCTGAGCCAGGAATGGCAAGTACTGCAGGATGCTTGGGAGCCACAGAACCATAGAATGGCTTGAGTCGGAAGGGACGTTAAATCCCACCCAGCCCCAAGCAGTACTGCCACCCAGCAGGTTAGGCTGCCCATTCAACCATCCAACCTGGCCTTGAGCACCTCCAGGGATGGGACACCCACAGCTTCTCTGAGTAACCTGTGCCAGATGCCCCTGTACATCTGCCTAGGCCTACAGATGTAGCCAAAGTACTTAGAGAGGGTCATTTCTGGTTCAGGAGCAGGGATGAGCCATGGGGGCAATCCCACTAGTCTGGTGGCCGTGGATTGGTTATGCCAAGTCACATTCCTGCAGTAAAGGCCTGAAAGGAAATGACAGCCCCCCCCCACCTCAAAACAATGTGAAAGAATAGGGATTTAGTCCTGCAGGGAGATCTTCCCCATGTCCCGGCCACACAGTGGGAGTGTGCAACAGAGAGCCTGATCCTGCCCTAACCTCCTTTTGTAACTACCCAGAATCAGACGTGCAAGGGAGAAGGTCTTTGTCACACAGCACACCCAGGGAACCATGCCACTCTCACCCTGCTCCCCCCTTTTTCTCCCTTTCGTTATTATTATTTTTTGCTCAGACTCGATGCCCACAGCTTGCAGCTCCCTAAGGACGTGCTCTGATTTTTATGTGGAGCGCTGTCATCCTGCTGTCCCCATGCTTGCTTCTCCACCGAGTCTGGGGTGGGAGTGGACTCCAGCTCCAACCTGGGCTGGTTACCTCTCCATACCCCTCAAGTTCTCGCTGGAGTGGCCTAAAGGTGGCTGACCCAGAAACCCTATGGGGCAGCCCATGGTGCTGACCCCAAACGCAGTGGTCCTTGCGCTGGGGGGGCAGGGGGCAGTGGGAAAGGAGTTTTCAAGAGTGAGTGGGCTGGCGCTGTGATTTGGGGAGATGAGTTTCAGACACTAGTGAGCCAGACACTAGTGAGATCCTGTTGACCTGAACCTGAATCCATTCCCTACGCTCTTGTAGCAGCGAAAGGCTGCACAGGGCTTGTGCCCTCCCATACAGCGGGGGCTGGGCTTTCACGGGGGAAGGGGATAACCACTCAAACAGCAGGTTTGCCCTTCCCCATCAGCTGCTTGTCACCTAGGAGTGCTCCCAGCCAGGGGATCTCGAGCAGCAGATGAAGCCAATCCGCTTTCAGCCTGGGGGCTGCCCCCTTTCATCCTCCCCCCTCCATCCTCTTCCTCCCCGGGGGCTGGCGCTCCGCCCCATACCCGGAGGCGGGACCGGGGGCTGGCAGGGACCCAGCCACGCAGAGGGAGCAGGTGGACGGCCAGGCAGCCCCTTCCTACAGCCCTGCTCCAGCCCCATAAGCACATGGCTTGGATACACTGGCTGCTGTCTTCTGAGGAGCTGATGTCTTTGTCCGGACACCTCCCTGATGGCTCTGATCTCCTCTCCTGACCCTTCCACATCCATCCCAGGACTCTCATCTTCACGACCAGGAGCAAGAATGCTTGCTGTCCCTTTGACAGCCTGTGCCAGCCACCCACCAGTCACTTTGGAGTATTTTCCCATCACGTGTCCGCATCTTGCTGGATGATCGGCGCCCTGGTCTGTGGAAATTCCCCTTGTTTCATCTGTTGCTTTATCTTGCTGGTCTTCATCTTGGATAAAGTCCTTGGCCACATCCTTCTCATACCTTACTCTCAGTTCATCTCACCCTTCTAAAGTTTTAAAGAAGAGCGGAGAGATTCACATGGAGGTACAGGCTGGCTGAAGCTGTCCTTGCTTGAGCTATCCATAAGCCATGGGCCGTCGGCTCTTACGGGGTCTCTCCGGAGCTGCAGTCTTTCTGGTCGGTGTGGCTCTCCTTTCTGTACGGCACCGTGGAGCTCAGGAAACCTTGGGATACCCAGGGCTCAGGGAGCAGGTACTGGAGAATCCAGAGCAACGAACACATGAGAGCCCAGAGGATGCCAAGGGAGGTGGTGGCACTGGGCAGAAGAACCTGCAGGTCAGTTCTCTGGACAAATATAAGACTGAAGGGAACCTGACCCTTGGGGATGTTTTCATAGCTGTGAAGACCACCAGGAGATTTCACCAGAGCAGGGTGGAGCTGCTTCTGGACACGTGGATATCCCGGGCAAGAGAGCAGGTGAGCATGTGGTTATGTGGATTTGGGCTACAGAGAGTGTACATGGCAAGGGGAGTCTATGGGGAGGCACAAAGCCAACAAAAGCAGAGATTGGGCACTTCCCAATGAGTTGCTTCCCTTTGCCTCATTTTCCCTAATGCTCATCGCTATTCACACTGAAAGGTAGATGGTATCGTGTGAAATGTTGCATTGATAGCTGGTTCATGGGGAGGGTGGTCAGAGAGGCTCAAGAGCTTCCACTGGTGCTTAGTTATGGTGGTCAGAGGGGCTGAAGTGGGCACTTCCCATGAAGACTGGGACATGAGGTCTGATTTTTGTGTGGTGCTGTGTGAATTGAGGAGTTGGACTCGATCCTGAAGGGACCGTTTCAACTCGAGATACTCTATGATTTTATGAGTGCTCTTAGCAAGCATCACCATTGCCTAACCTAACCCCAACTCCTTTGGCTTGAGATGGAAGGGATTTTCTTTCATTATGTCTAACGACTAACAGCACAGACTGCCCGGGACACCCCAGATGAACAGAACAGACCTTCCACAGCCTATCTGAAATAGTGGCTTCCCATCTCCTCACAAGTTTGCAGGGTATGGAACTGTGCTGTTCTGCAGGTTGGCTTTGTGGTGGGCAGAAGTTCTCTTCCTCGCTTCTCCCCCCTCACAAAGCTGCTCCTCAAGAACAAAAAAACCCTGCGGCTGTCCCCAAAGGGTATTTTTTTTCCTCCTTTTGCCTCTGCCTGCATGCAACAAGACGACTTCAGGCCTACGTGCGGAAGGGAGGCGGGGGTGGAGGTTTTGGGTAGGAGAGTGCTTGAAGCAGTGCAGGGTTTTCTGGGTAAGGGTGGTTTTCCACTTTCGGGTGCTGCTGTGGTAGTCACAGGAAATCATGTCCTATTTCAGACACACTTCCTCTCCTGTCTGTGTGACTGTCCTAAGCATTTGAGAGACCCTGCTTCCTCCTCCACACGCACTTCTCCTCTAAGCCCAACAGTTCTTTGGAGAAACCAAACTGTTCCCCGGGGCACACGCTTTCAACAACAGTTCCAACTGAGCTTTTGGAGTGGTCTTGCACACAGCAGCTCAACTTCCCCTTCTTGTTCAATTGACAGACAGACATCTTACTGTCCTGCAGATGATAGGATGAGAGGTGATGGCCATATGTTGCACTAGGGGAGGTTCAGGTTGGATTTCAGGAAAAAATTTAATCTCAGAAGGAGTGGTGCTGCAGTGGCACAGGCTGCCCAGGGAGGTGGTGCAGTCACCATCCCTGGAGGTGTTCCAGAGCCGTGTGGATGTGGCACTGAGGGACGTGGTCAGTGGGCATGGTGGGGGTGGGCTGGACGTTGGACTGGGTGATCTGTGAGATCTTTTCCAACCTTCATGATTCTGTGATTCTACGGTTCTGTGGCAGGATTCAGATAGCATCTCCCCACATTCACCAGACCATCTCTTTTTGGCAGACAAGTGATGTTCCAACGTGGGGAGAGGCAGTGAATTTTCTGTGCTGCTGCCCACCCATAGGAAAACTTCATTTGTGGGAGGATAGGAAGGAAGGGGTCAAATGGGAGGGTCAGACATTTTTTAAACAGTGTTTTTTCATTGTTATCAAATTTTGTTACAAGCTCAGCACTATCCTTCCCCTAGCCCCTCTCAATTTTCCATGTTTTTCTTCTGCTTTTTGTACTAAATGCCCTTGAGGGCAGGGGAGGGATGGGGAGGCAAAGAGAAATACATGAATGTCAACAAATAAAAAATATATAGCTAGTGGGGAAATTTTGTCAGCTGGCCATGCTTCTGATGCCAAGCCTGGCTTAAGAGCTGGTTCCTGCACAGTGCCCTCCCAGAGGAAGTAACCTGGACCTCAAAGGCCAGGCTTAGGTGACTGCAGCAGGAGGCAGGGCCAGCTGTGATCCTTTATGGTTAGGAGAGATTGTGTGGGAGCCAAATTATCAAGGAAAAGTCTTTTTGTTAGAAAAAGCTTCATCTAAGCACAAGAGTTTTGATGACTGTCTAAGCTGAACAGCATCCTGAAGTTGCTGGTACTGTTGGCCTCTTCACATTCTGATGGAGATAGGCCTAGTTTTTCTGGTCTGTTTTATTCGGTAATATAAACACATTCCGGCACCCTTCCTTTCAGCAACCCAAACATCCAACTGATGGAAATGAAAACTCGGAGTGACCCACCCTGAAGTGTTTTTTCATGCTTTCAGTGTTGTGAACACACTGTAGACTTTGAATCTCTTCTCTGGGCAGGGGAACAGTTTCCTGCCCAGCTGTACCATTACACGTGTTGATGTGTTTGCATTTTGGAGGCTGTTTTTTCCTGGGGAAGAAATACTCTGGGAGCTTGGGAGATTAATATCCTGGACTGTCAGGTTCCACATATTTATTCCCTTTTTCTCATTTTTCTTGCTTGGGTCACTTTCCAGTTTGGTCTGAGGAAGCCTCAAAATATTGTGTTAATCCATCACATGTGTACTTAAGTTCATAAAGAGCTGCCTGGTCAACCCATTGGACACCAGTGGCTCCATATCACTGCTAGCTCCCAGCAAACATCTTTTCCCACTTCTCTGGTCCAGAACTGAAGGATGTCTTCCAGCCTGATCCTCGTGTGATTTCCCTCCATCACTGACAGGAGAAATGGTCTTAGAGAAGGTGAGGTGCAGAAGGCGAGTGGGAAGCTGTGGTAGAATGACAGCTCTGTGGGCCCATTGGTCCACCTGTCAGAGAAGGTGTCCACGGGCCTTGGGTTCCTAAAGGAGTACGCCAGGTGTCTGCAAGTAAACATTCCCCTTTGCATCTAGGGGAATGTGAGTGGTTCAGAGTATTACCATTAATAGAAAGATAGATAGGCAATGAGATATTAAGTTTATTAGGCACATGATTTCTGATTGGTTTTGCAACTGTAAGCAAGTCATTTCTAGAAACATTTCTGTTTTTTGCATGCCAGGAAATTTGAGTGGTTTCAGAATTGTTCTCTTCAGATGAAACATTTGTCATAGTGGAAATTTCTGCCTTTGGATGTGCTGGCACGGCGAGTCCCATGCTGCTGGGAATTCCTGCTGTGTTTGAACATTAAGATACGGTCACCTGACTCAGGACTCCTTCACCTGTGACTTTGCTAATTGCTTCCAGTCCCATGACCGCCTTGAAAGTGGTTTAAACTAAGAGGGCTTATCTTGCTGAGGCATGGTAGGACTGTATGCACAGTCAGTTTTTGCAATCAGCTGTGAGGCAGGAGAGGAATTTGCCGACTCACAGCTTGCGTGTTTGAGATTGTCCACCCTGCCATCTCTGCTTGACTGGGTGCTCTCTGAGAGCCCTTCATCGCCTCCCTTGTGTGTTCAGATCATTTCTCTTCCCACACATTGCTGATGCAGGGCACATCACCCAACCCAAGCACTCGGTGATATGGGGCGGTGTCGAAACAAGGACATCTCATCAGAGCAGTGACAGCCCCTAGGAGCTGCTGTCCATCTGCCTCGTCCCTTTTGTCCCTGCCCAGGCGCAGTGTTTAACCAGCCTGTAGGCAGCTGGTGGAGAGACTGTTTAAGGCTTGCACCTCCTTTTTGATTTCATGAAAGCTCATTTTCTGCTTGAGGAAAGCTTTTCTTCCCAAGCTGTGATCCCTGCCCAGACCCAGAGAGGGGGAGGTGTGCCACATAATGGCATAGAGGGAGATTAGAGAGCCTGGGGGTGGAGGAAGAGAATGAGGAGGCAGGGAAGTGGCAGGGGGCTGAGCACACTTATCACACAAACAGATGTTCTCCTTTCAGCCTGAGCGTTCCTTGGCCACAGTGCTTTTCATTTTTCTTCAGTGGACACTTAAACCACCCTCTCTCTTAGTTTTGCAGGCCCTCTTGTTCCTCTTTCTGAAACTTTAGGAGAAAATAAAGCAGAGCAAACAGGGATGGTGCTAGCTGGGAGTAATGGATGACAAAGGAATGCTGATTCTGCTCAGGGCAGGGATCAACCCCCGGGACTATGCAAGGGCAAAGCAAGCTTCCCAGGCCCTTCCAGGCCAGTGGAAGGAAGCAGCATGAAGCAATGGGGATAATGGTGGTGATGGGGTCTGCATGCACGGCCTGTGAGGGTTTGGAGAGGCTTTAGTGGGAAAGAAGAGGACTGGGGCAGCCACTGTCCCTCCTCTCTGTTGCCTAGTGCCTGGAATGCAGTAGAAGCACCAGCACCACGCCTGATGGTAACATCCTTTTCTCATCTCCCCAGACGTATGTCTTCACAGATGAAGAAGATGATGCCTTGAAGAGAAGAATGGGTAAACACCTTTCCTATATCACCATCTCTGCCTTCACTCTGAGCTAACATGGCCTTTGGAGGGGGCCAGGCAGGATGGCTAGCTCCAGGCTGTAGCCACACAGTGCAAGCAGCATGTGAGAAAACCCTTCCTTGATTCCTGTACCCTTCCTAGCCATGGGCAGAGTTGTAGTAGCATCTCTTCACTTTTACTGTGAAAAATTTCTTATGTACAATTTAGTTTTCACTCTTTGAGTTTGAAACCCTTGTTTGTTGTCTTACTGTTTGGAGACCAAATGTCTTTCCATTTGGGTACCTGAATGCAGCCTTTCAATGTCTGAAGGGAGGCTGTAAGAAAGAATGGGACACGCTCTTTGGCAGGGTCTGTTAGGATAGGTTCCTATCCTACAAGCCTTTTGAGAAGGCTTGTAGGGAGGGAATGTCTTGAGGTTGATGAGGGGAAGGGTTGAGCAGGTGGGAGATGAAGCCAACATCATAGCAGGCTTGGATTGAGAGACCATGGTGAATCTGGTTGTGAGCAAACCTCTTTCATCCTACTCAGAAGTCCTCTCCATGTCTGTATGGGCCAGCAGTAAGCAACAGCCTTCTCCCTGTCCACAGGTGACCGTGTGGTGTTCACCAGCTGCTCTACTGAGCACAGTCACTCAGCCCTCTCCTGCAAGATGGCTGCAGAGTTTGACGCATTCCTGTCTAGTGACAAGAGGTGAGTTGGGGCTGCTGTGAAAGTGAACTTTTTCTTGAGGATGCTGGCACCTCCTTACTGCAAATCTCTTGTGTACTTCCTCCTATCTCTCTCCAGCTGGTTCTGCCATTTGGATGATGACAACTATCTGAACCCTGAGGCCCTCCTGAAGCTCCTGTCCTCATACTCTCCAATGAAGGATGTCTACCTAGGGAAACCCAGCTTGAACCGACCCATTCGAGCCTCTGAAACACTGTCTAACAACCAGACGGTACAGCCTATGGCAGGGTGGAGCAGCTGGGGTTTGGTTTTAATGCTCTGACTCATTAGCCATAGCTCTACTCTGATGAGAGAAAAGTCGCAAGAGCAAGAGACATCAGCTGAAAACTGTGTGGTCTTGTCTGAATGTAGCAGCATGTGTTGACTCATTCCAATCTCACCTGAGGAAGAAAGGTGATGTTCAACAGTTCTGCTGTGCCTTTGGGTACGCATCTGCAGGGAGATCAGCCTGCCTTGGGCAGCCTACTTTCCACTGCAGGAGCTTGGCTGCTCCAAATGGGCCAGCTGGCACTGTTTAGCCTTGGTTTCCAGTTAGCCTTTCTTAGCATGCATGCTGTAATTTGGCCAGTGGTCTCCTCACCCCTGCTGGCTCTTTTTCCCTTTGGTTGAGAGTGCCATGTTTTCAGTCTTTGCTCATCCTGACTTCCCAGCCATATGAGGAGATCAAAATTGGGACTGTGTTACCAACAGGTGCTTGCACTGGGCAGGAACTGGGGGGTGACAATAGGGCTCTTTATCTCTCTGTCAAAGCTGTGTTTGTAGCATTCCCAGCTCAGGGAACATGGTGTCATCTGAGCCTCTGCCATTGATTTGCTCTGCTGTTTCTCTCCAGAAATCTGTGCACTTCTGGTTTGCCACAGGAGGAGCTGGATTTTGCATCAGTCGCAGGCTGGCAAGGAAGATGATGCCTTGGGCGAGGTAAGCTGTACAGTCACAGGGTATGTGAGTCTTTGGGATTAGGAACACAGACACACAATAACTTCTGCCAATGTCAAATCTGGATTTGTGTATGTGATGTTTGCAGGGATGTTTGAAAGGGTGCAGAGAGCCACACGCTTCAATTCTGCAAGCATGTGGGACTGAAGGAAGGATGTAGTGGGTGGATCTCCCACCTGATTAAAGAAAGGCAGGAGAAAGCACATCAGCAAACATTATCACACGATGACACACTCCTCCTCCAACTCCTTCCATCTTTTGGTTATTCCTCAACCTTCCTTCCTTTTTCTTTCAGCTTTTTCTGGCTCTTTTTGTAAATGCCCAGGTTGAGCTCTGTCTCCTTCCAACCTCCTCTGCCTCCTTCCTGATCTAATTTCCAAGTCCTCCACCTTAAACTCTATTCAGCTGCTTACAGTGTCCATGGTTATCTCCTCAGCTTGATGCATAGGGAATGGCAGTAGGTCCTGGGGACATGTGTTAGTCCAACCTACATGATGATGTTTTCCAGGATGCCCTAGGTTATCTTACAGACTGTATGTGCAAATGTCAACAGGAATGATCTGTGCCAGCCTTAACCAAGTGTTTGCGTACCCAGAAAGACAGGCCTGGTCCACATCAGGTGGCTCATGGTCAGTTTTTACTGATTTAGATGAAGACCCTGCTACATTCTTCGTGCAAAATCCAGAAAGGACAACGATCTGTTATCCAGGGTAAAATTCAAGTGACACGGATAGAATCATAGAATTGTTAGTGTTGGAAAGACCAATGAGATCATCCAGACCAACCATCAACTATGGTTGTGGTGGTGATGATGACATGGGACATGGTTTAGTTAGCATGGTGGTGATGGGTTGACGGTTGGTCTGGATGATCTCATTTGTCTTTCCAACATTAATGATTCTGTGATTCTATTTGTCAGGGATAGCATCGAGCAATTGGTGGGACAGCATGTTTGGACATGGTTGAAGAGCAGAAACGCATTCCCACATCTTTGCAGTAGGACTAAGGGATTTTTTTCCTTGTTTCAAGGTTTACTCTGATTTTCAGTATATTCCTCATACTCCTTTACATAACTCATGTAGCCCTGCTCTCTTCCAGTGGCAAGAACTTCCTGAGCACCTCAGAGCTCATCCGTCTGCCAGACGATTGCACCATAGGTTACATCATTGAGTGCAAAGTTGGTGGGCAGCTGCTGCCCAACATGCTCTTCCACTCCCACCTGGAGAATCTGCAACTCATCCCCAGCTCTCATCTCATGCAGCAGGTGAGCAACAGAAACAAGAGACATGTTTCAGAGAAATGGGAGGTGGAAAAAGGCGTGGGGGACGTTGCCAGTTGGTGGCAGTGATGTGAATTGAAACAATTGTCCACACTTCTGAAGATATTTTGCCAACGAGTGCTTCCTTGCAATAAGGAGCAGATGTTGCCTGCAGCACAGATGCCAATTGCTGTGTATTGGTGGTGGGTAGCATGTGTATAGGGAGTGAGGGGAGGATGGGGGCAGACCTTGGAGGGATCATGGTATCAGGGCAAGGAGAAACGCTGATTGGTTGGGAAAGATTTTTGCACCATGTCTGCCTTGCATGGGCAGATAACAGATGGTGTAGGTGACTCACATGGTGGACCATAGAATCATAGAATCATAGAATGGTTTGGGTTGAAAGGGACCTTTAAGATCATCCAGTTCCAGCCCCTCCTGCATATACTTCCCTCTAGATCAGGTTGGTCAAAGCCCATCCAGCCTAGCCTTGAATGCTTCTAGGGCAGGGGGCATTTACAGTATTACATCATGGAAAGGAGGAGAGGAGAATTGGAAAGCAGGGGCCAAGCCACCAGAGATGGAATGAGAATGGGAGATTTTGTCACTCAAAGCAGATTCCTGAACACATCACCCTCCCTGCTCCTTTCTCCCTGTCTTTCTTTTCAGGTCACACTCAGCTATGGTGTCTTTGAGAACAAGCTCAACGTTATCAAACTCAGCGGTCCCTTCTCACCCCAGGAAGATCCCTCAAGGTAGGGGTGTGAGTGCTCAGTGCACTGCTGAGGTTTGAGCTGTAGGACAGCAGGGTGGCAGGTACAGGCTGCTAAATAGGGGGCAGGAGGTCTATAGTGAGGGACAAAAGCCTTGCAGTAACAGGTCTTGTTGAGTGAGGGTCATACCAACATTAAGATGTTTGCAAACACACATTTTGCAAACCACTTTGGATGAAAGGAAAGAAAATACGTATTATAACATTTTATTTGAACAGCTACTAAGCCAAAAGTTTGCCATTCATTTCACACACAAAAAAAACAAGCTAACCTTTTACCTCTGGGACAGGAACTGAAATGTTCTTCTAACACAGGAGAGGAAATTCTGCTTTATTTTACTTTCTTTGTTTTGGTGAGAAAATTGAAGGGAGAAAAGAAAAAGGTTTGCTTCAGGATAACTGCTAACAAAAGTGCTCTTTCATTTACTTGCTCTGCTTTGAATGAACAAACCTGAAGTTGTTATTTGCAGAACTTGGGTAGGAAGCTTCTGGCTGGAGATAGAAGGGGTGGGAAGTAACCACGCAATTAAAAGGGCATCTACAGAGCAGTTTAGCAGGGTCTGGTGCAGTCCCAATCTCACTGAATGCGATCAGTGAGGGTGAGCAGTGAGTTAGGCTCCATGGTCCATAGCAGGATTCAGGTGTTGGAGGAAAGCTTGGCTGCTCAGCTTTGCCAAATCAAGACTTTGTAAGATGAGCCAGTCCCAGAGCACTGTAATGCAGGGTGAACATCTGATGTGGGATGTGACACAAGACAGAAGCCTTCCACTCCCCACCTTGTTCTGCAGTAAAAACTGCCACATGATGTTCCTTCACTCTTTCCCCTGCAGGTTTCGATCTCTCCACTGCCATCTCTATCCTCATACCGCCTGGTGCCTTCAGGCTGTTGGTTGGTGATGCCCAAGCTACAGTGAGTCCTGGTGTTATCCCTTCAGCTTGTGCATGTAGGGGATGGGGCACTGAAGAAGCTTGGTGCTCCCAGCTTCCCCTTACTTATGGTGGTTGGGGCTTTTTGGTCCTTGCTGAGTACCAGTGATACAGGAGAAGAGAGATCTGTACCAAAGATGGATAACGTGGGCTGGACACATGGATGGGCTTCCCATCTGTGCTGGGATGCTTACGAAAGATGAGAGCAGCATGCTTTCCTGAACAGATTAAGGACTGGGTATGCACTGCTGAGCATGTGGGTAGAGATGGGACCCACTGCTCCTTGTTGTGGTTTCACTGTATTGAATCAGAAGGATGCTGGATCAGGGTACCCAGTGCCAGACTGAGGATCACTGGAAGTGTGCCTTGGCTTCAGTCTCTGAGGCTTCTTTCTCTGTATGTGCCTGGGCTTCCCCCATTTCCCACTGTTCCCAGCTGCAGCCCTTTGGCTGAGTCTCTGCCTCGTTAAACTCTGATTCCACTCTCCCTTCAGAAATGGAAAATGTGATCATTTCTGTGCTGAATGAGTGCTGAAAAAGCAAAGCTCTTGGCCATCAGAGGGGAGGTGGGCAAGAAATGTAAGAAATCAAGAATCACTCCTTGGCTGGGACAAGGGAGAGAGTACGAAATGGGGATCATGGAAGGAGAGATGGAGATGAGGATGTTTTCTGCTCTAAACACTGAAGGCTTGATCTTGTATGGCCCTGCATTATTCCTCTCTTTTTACCTGCTTGATATGGGGTCAGCATAATCTTTTGCTCTAATTATCAACCTGTCGTCTGAGATTAGACTCCAACTCCTACCTGTGAGAGAGGAGACATAAAGGATTAAAACTGGCTGAAAGAGAGGAGAAAGGAAGAGATGGAGAAGGAGCACTCGGGAGCGGATTAGAGGTTACACCTTTAAAATCTTCTCTGTGCCCTGACCAAAAAAAATTAAGTCGTGAAGGAATGGAAACTGCAGGGCAAAGAGCTTTTTATCTCTGCATTTCTTTCTTCCAGATGCTAAGAGCAGCTTTCTGCCTTCCTGCTGTCCCTGCTTAAGACAACAGGGAGAAGGAGACAGCCCAAATAGGTTACAGGCTTTCTAGCATGTTTATGGATAACCCCTTTCTCAGCACAGATCCTGCCATGAAAGTGAGACAATTCCACTCAATGGGGAATGGACTTTGACACCATTTTGTGCCTGTACACATGAATAAATGGCTGAGGGAGAGCAATGCGGGGAAGGCTGGAAGGCAAAGGAGCTGTTTTACATGGCAGGCAGCATCACAATCAGGTATTTCTCTTTAAAGAGTGCTTCAAAACAGACTGCTGGAATCAGAGAGAGATTCCTGTAATCTCTGGTTGAAAGGACACGTGCCCTTTCTCCAAAGAGCTGCTCAGCTTTGACGCTGCTGATTGGACTAAGCCTGCTGCTGGTGGGCTGGCAGAGCCAAGGGGGGACTATCGCCATGCCTCTACCACGCTGGAAACTGGTCACCCTATTTTCCCATCCCACCTCACCCCTCAGACACCAGCATCTCCCCTACAGCTTGTATGAGGCCTAAAGAAAAGGCATCAGAAAGACCTTCTATCTCATCAAAGAGGGACCTAGAAATGAATGAGCACTGTAATTACTGATGAAGAAGAAAGAGGGGGCCTGCGGAGCTGCTTTCCAGCCTGGTCGTTCTTATGAGCTTTAGGCAGTTTGTGAAGCAGCCAAGAACCCTTCTTTCTGCTCTTGCACAATATGTCTTTGAACTGGAAATTCATGCTGAGCAGTGGCAGGAACTACGTAATAGCAGTGACCATTCTGGGAGAAGTGCAAAGCGCTCCATCTCACGCAGCCGTGTGAGACATGGAGCTCAAAATAGAGACAACCCAGGTATCAGACAATCGGTGCAGCATAAAATAGTCCTACCCAAAGGGCAAGTGGTTTTGTTTGAACTCAACTAGAAGATGAAAAATGCTTTCACGAGAAGAAATAAAGGAAGCTGATATACAGAAGGTAGACCAAATTTTTACATGATCTGATAGTGATAGGACAAGGGGGAATGATTTTAAGATAAAAGAGGGAGATTTAGGTTAGATGTTAGGTGGGAATTCATTACTCAGAGGGCGGTAAAGCGCTGGCACAGCTGCTCAGAGAAGCTGTGATGCCCCATCCCTGGAGGTGCTCAAGGCCAGGTCGGATGGGGCCCTGGGCAGCCTGAGCTGGTGGGGGCAGCCCTGCCCACAGCAGGGGTTGGGACTGAGTGGGCTGTGAGGTCCCTTCCAACCCAACCACTCTGTGATTCTATGAATCTATGCTACCCAGATATTATCTTTTATCCTCATTCAACTCACAGCTATGCTGTTAACTGAGTCTTGCAGCAAAAATGCCAGTCCAATCTGTGGATGTCCCGGTATCAGCCAAAGCACAATGAGATTTGTGTGCCTGAGAAGAAGAAGCTGGTACAGCAGACTCACTGCCCTTCGAAGAAACTGGAAGGTCTTGTTGGATCCTGGCCTCAGCTGTTCTGAATTGGCCCAGTGCTTTCAGTAAGGCTGTTCAATGATTTGGGTCCTTGAGTGGCTGCACGGGGACCATTTCAGATGAGGCTTTTATACAGGAGCAGTGCCACTTCTGTGGAAAATATCCTCTTGCATAAGAAAACAGAGAAGAAATGAGGGGATGTCTGGGCAGGGCATCTCTCGGGCTGTAGAGAAATGAATGACAGAAAGGTCCTGATGTACCTGTGAGAGCAAAGCACTGGGAAGAAAATTGCTTTTCAGAGTCAGCATAAGAAACCACGTCTTCTCCAAGAACAGAGAAACAGCTTAAGGGGACATTCTCCTCTTGAAATCTGATCAGTGTTAAAACCTGAGTTAAAATTAGTTTCAGGAATGGTTCCTGCCCCTGGGGCTTGCTGTCAGATGTTGTGGTTTTACAGTCTCATTTTCCTAGTTTATTAAAATGTTTAGCTGCTTGGGAAAATGAGTAACAATCTCATGTGAAACTTTCCATGGGCTGATCTTTTTTTTTATTCTCCTTCATGATTTTCTGATGTAACAGATTGTAACAGTCAAGAGTTTTTTTGAAAGAGTTCCACTGGGTCTATTAAAATGTTGTGTTTTTCTTTCCTTTTCCCTCTTTCACATTCCCATTTCTCATTGCAGTTTAAAAAAAAAAAAAAAAGAAAAAAAACTCTATCCCAAGAACTAAAGGGATGGAAGCATGGTCTTTTTATTTTACTGGGAAAAATGGGGTTAAAGCCAAAGGTGTTGGCATGACCCTGCTGTTGTACAACATTATGTGTAGCTCTGGATTTCAAGTACAGAGGCCTCAGCTGCCCAACACCATAGCAACGAACACTATTAATGATGTTTAAGCTGTGTACTGAAGATTCAGAGAAAAGGGAAGGAGGGGAAAAAGCCATTTACAGTATTTGAAATGTAATGTATTAAGTGGAGCTTTCATGTTAACAATAACTTTTTTTATGCTTTTCCCTGAACTGCAAAGAATTTTTACAAGAAAAGCCCAGTTTGTCAGGGCAAAAAATGCTAATGACTATCCTTTCTTCAGGGGGAAAACCGAAGTTAGTTGAAATAGGTGGGAAACTGCAATTGTTGCTAAAGGCTTGAAGGGGAGAGAGAAGAATAGTAATGCTATATAATGCTTTCCTGGTGCCAATTCCTCTTAACAGCTCTGCTGTTGAAGGAAAACAGATTTCAGTGGACCAATGGGATCTGCTGAGCTTGTACCAAGGCTGCAGCCACAGCTCCCTCCCCAAGCCTCTTGCTAAAGATGCAGCCTTCCAAAGACCAACAGTGTATTAAACAGAAACCAAAGGGCGAGAAATGGGAAGAAAGAGATTGGAAGGAAACTAACAACCAAGCAGTAGAACTTGGAAGAGGTGAGATTGGCTGGCCCCAACTCTCTTCATTTTGTTCTTTTTATTTGCTTGTTTGCTTATTTGTTTGCTTATGAAAAGCTGATATGCCATTTATACTAAATTCCTCACAGAAGTTTTATCTTAATTTTGAGTCTTTGTCTGCCCATGCTTATGATGCAGGTACCTCTTTAAGTGCCTGTGTGTTCAGCATCACTTTTCATTTATTTCTTTCTGTTATCTCCAATCCCTGAATAAACCCACAGGACAACAGGCTTGTCCTTTTGCACTACTGGCCACCAGGGCTCTACACACTTCTTTTTGATTCCTTGGCCTTATGCCCTTCTTTGGGTGAGGTAGTTGGGTCTAGGTTTTCAAATAACAAAAACAAAAATGCTTGATCACCTTTTTCTGTATCCATAGTGACACATTTTCATGTCTCATCTACCACACATTCTTTTTCTAATTTCACCTGTATTTCCCCTGTAAATAGTGGGCTCCATATGCAATTAAATCATAGAACTCAAAGCTGAAGGACCGTGTGTTCATCACAGCTTTGAATTAGAGGCAACAAACCACACAATGAGTACAGGTTTGGCCCCTGCTCTCAGTCGGTGCCAGACATGGGATCTCACACAAAGAATCTCAATCTGGGCTTATGGCTCCACTGAAAAGGATGTGAATGTTGCCATAGACATAAGCAAAACCAAGAGCTGTGACAAATATAAATACCCATTTCTGTTTTCACCAACTACTGCAGGATTTTTCCTATAGATTTTCTACCCAATTACCTGGGTTGTTAAAGGAGTTGAGGTCTGAGCTGTTGTCACTCAGCTGGCATTACCTCTTTAAGGCTATTCCTTGAAAGCATGAGTTTTTTTGTCACTCCTGCTTTATCCAGCTTGGACTCCAAGAAGACTGGGAATTCATCTGTATCTCTGTTTGAAATGTGTGTGCTTAATTACAGACCTCTAGAATGGGCTGCTTGCCTATCAGTCATGCTCAAATTGCCTTCCAGGATTTTGCAAGGCTAAGGAGCCTCTTCAGATGTTGTGTCTGACTGCTCCTTGGTTAAACCTCCTTTGGTTTCACTGGGAGCTGCATCTGATTTGTAGAGAACTTTGAGAACAAATTAAACAGAGCACTTTGTACATGGATTTTATGGCCCTAACCCTCCAGCCACTGCTTGAGAAGAAGACTGTTGATTTTGGCAATGTAAGAAAAAGAATTGGAACTAGACAAGGCAATTGAAGGGGGAGAAATGCTGCTATGCTGAACCTCCATTTTCCCTCTCCCATCTCTATAAATGAGACAGAGATAGAAACTGCAACTGGTGCCCTTGGCCACAGTGCATCAGGTGGAGAATGTGCCTTGAAACATCTGGTGTTGCATCCAGCAGACCCAGTCATGAGTCCAGGCCAGCTTGTGCTTGGTGATGGACAGAGAGAAAAATGGTGCCTGCCCCAAAGCAGAAGCATGGTAGAAAAGGCTTATAAAACCAGTGGGATAGTGCTGCCATACCAGAGTAGGGGAAAAAAAGATTATGTTTGGGACAGGGAAGGACAGGAATCACAGAAAAATCTCTTTCTCCACCCACAAATACCATGAAGGAGTTGAAGGATGGGGATGGAGAGGTGAAGGGATAGATAAGTAGCCTGGATAAAGAACCAGAACAAAATCTATGTCCTCTTCATGGCTGTGTTGGCAGCTGATCAATGCTGGCCTGAGGATTGATCCTTTGAGGGAAATCTGGAAAGAAAAAGGCAAGAACTGCATCACTGCATCTCCCTCAGTCCACACAGTGACCTGTGGCTTTTCACACATTACTACCCCAGTGGCATATCAGGAAATGTAGGGCTTGGAAAAGAGAATCAAAATTTGCTCTGTGCTGCATGGCTGCTGCCTGGGGACATCCCGGTGCAATTCAGCTCTCACGGGCACTCAGAGAAGCAGGATGCACAGGAAAGACTCTGGCCCTCCTCACTGCCCCACCATTCCCACGTTACCATCAGCTTTGACTGCAATGAGGCTGACTGCAGAGACTGGACAAGCTCCCTCCACTTGTGATATTTCTTCAAATGTGGGGCAGAGATCTCCACTTTGAGTTCTTGAAGAGGCCAGTTTCTGAAGTCCTGGTGTGATCCTTGCAGATGGTCAGGGAAACAGGACCCCTCCATAACCCCTTCTTTTCTCACGGCATTGAGCTAGAGTTGGACAATGTCTGTTTTTAGAAAAAGTGGCAGATTCAACAGCTGAGCTGGTTTTCCAAAGGGATGTATAAAATCAACAGCCTGCCATCTGCTCTATTGTCCTGGAATAGCAGCTTGAAGGGTGAAGGAAGAGGGAAGGAGGGGGAGTGAAAGGAATGAGAAATAGGGGTGGGGGGAGAGAGTGGGAAGGAGGGGAGGAAAAGGCAGCAGAGAGGTGAGGAAGATCTTATGGGAGTGGAGAGTGAAGGTGGAGGCTAGAGAAAGGTAGAGAAGGAGGAGAAGCAAAAAAGAAAGCAGTTTGACAGTGGAAGTGCTGAGGGGAGAGGACAAGCATGGGGACAAACAGAGCTTGCTTCTCATCACCCTGCATAGATCTCTGATGACTTCCTGAGCCAGCAAGGTAGGCACCTGCAGCACCCTTGTCCCTGGCTCGTGCTGAGCCAAAGCCTGACAGCAAAATAAACAAACTGAACTTACTGACCTGGATAATCACTCCCCTTTCACCCACACAGCCCCTTCTGCTTGCCTGCTGTACCCCCTCACCTCCCGGGTTGGCTTTTATTGAGTGCTGCAGGGAAGGCATTGAACTCCAGGTTTGGCAGCAGAGTAAATAACAGCAACATTGGCCTCTCCAGCTCAAGTGGGAGGAGGGGTGGTTTCAATCAAAGGTAAATAACAGTTGGTATTCTCTGACCTTTAATCCAATTTCCTAGAAATGGAAAATAATATTCCAGCATAGATATGTGGTGCTGGTCTACAAAAGAAGGATAACTACTCAGCCAGCTGTTGGGCAAAGCACAGCCAGTGAGGCCTGAACTGGGGGAGATGCCACAAGACAAGTAGTTCATCCTTGCTGGCCTGAGACTGTATTACTCTCATCTGACTCTTCCTGGTGTATTTTCCTTGCTTTAATCATCTCCCTGAGTGGAGCTGGGTTGCTGGTGGGTAGCACATTCTCATGAGATATGGACCCAGATGGATGGAGGCTCCCTGATCTGCTCTGAGGATAGGAGAAAATGGCCCCAGCTGATGCCTTGAATCTGCATCCCCAAAGGACATTTTGCTAGAAATTTAAAGTTGGAAAGAAATATTTACGTAGCTATTAGTCTGGTAACACAATGGTCTCTGTGGCTGGAGAGCTTGCTCTCTGGTTTGGTCACATTTTAGGATCTCAGAGGTTTAAGGAGGTGGTGTTATCAATCTCTCAGGGGGTTATCTGGTCCTGCAGAAGGAGCAGTTACCTCACAACCCTTCCAACCCTTCTGGCAGAAGTTTTTCCAATCAAGTACTAAATCCTGCTCTTCTGGTACAGACTACTAGTGTCCGATTGGAAAACTGCTGATGACTAAACAGTGGTAACAAGCTGATCTTGTAAAAGCAGGTTTCTTCTGTGCCAGTATTGATTTCCAGATGAAGCAACTCTGTCAGGCTCTAGGGCACTGCTTTCTCCTCTGTGGGGCAGCTGATTTGCAGTTCTCTGACAAAAAAAAGCCTGGTGAGGCCAGGCTGTGTTTGGAAGAAGGCAGAGATATGTACAGGACCTGAGGGCAGAGAAGGTCAGATCCTTTCTAGGCTTTCCATTTTGCAGAATGTAGTGATTCATAGGAGGGTTTTCATCCACTGTGGACACAGAGCATCAGTCCATCCTGTGGGTGAACTGTGGTTTCAAAACCACGTTTCAGATGAAAAACTTTGTAACCCATATGGACACTGAAAAAAACCTCTTCACCAAGAGCTCCCTGGTGACAAATGTAGCTCAGAGCACGGCAGTTGTGTGACAATCAATTCCTGATCATACATTATAGACAGATCACATGCAGGAGGAACGGCCAAGTCCATCATCCCATTTAATTCTCTACTCTTCCAGTGTGGATGCTGAGAGCCTGGGAGACAGCAACAGCAGTTTCAAAGTGCACTCAGACATCCAGGGCAACACAGGATAGAAGTACTGAGAGCTTAACCTCTAGACTGAGGAATAGTGAAGTCCACCCTGCACAGAGAGACTCAGATGATGACTGATCTTTGCATTTCACTACCAGTCAGCTAGTCTTGCCTTAAGACAGTAAGGGAGAGGAAAAATTATTTTTTTTTGCATCCCTTTGATGATGTGTCATTTTCCCTTTGCTCGACTCGCTCTCGGAGCACAGTGCTTTGGTAACTGCTTGAACTCTCTGGAATGGCCTTTGCCCTCTTGTCAGGGAGAGAGAAGGAAGAGGAGAGGGTTTGGGAGGCGGAAGCTCTGGTCAGCACCCTGGAGAGGGACGGTCCGACATGCCCCTGCTTTCACCTACTTGTCTTGCCTTCCACTGCCTTTGCCTGCATTTTCTTGCCTTCCCCTACCTTACCTTGTCTCTACCCTCATTTATTTTGCCTTCCCTCTTTGTTTGCCTTTCCTTCATTTTGGTGCAGGCTGATGGACGGCATCCTGGCGTGGCACAATCCTACCTTGCCTTGCAACTAACACTAACCCTTTTTTTGCTCTTGTTTAGGAACAAATACAGGGTGTTACAGCTCTGTACACAGCTGCTCTGATACTGTGGCTTAGATCTGGGTTATTTTTTGCAGACAAATCCTCTTTTCTATCAGATTTGACATCAGGCAATCCCTTCATATCCCTCCCATTCTCTCTGTCAGACTTCCCCCTTCTCTTCCTGCCCTGTGTTCTCTTTCCTGGCATCTGTGCCCTTCCATTCTCTCTGTATCCCTCCATCCCCTTTTCTTTTGTATAGCCAGCTTTCAGTTCTCATATATCAGAAGAATTTCTGGTTTTGTTTCCATCACAGTCTGTTCCCACCAGCATGGAAACAGGGCAGAAGTCCACAGAGACCAGGAGGGAAAGAGGAAGCTTACAGAGAGCTGTAGTCAAAGCTTGTTTCAGTAATCCAGTGCAGATTTTCATCTCTCTGCTCTTACCCTTAAAGTCCTAAGAGGCTTCTACCTGAGAGCTTTGCAAACTGTTACTTCTCTGAGATCTCCCTGATGCAGGTTCTCAGTGCTCTGCTGAAGGGTGCCAGTAGCATACATTGGCTTATTTGGTAGGATCTGGTACCTAATGAGTAATAAGCCTTCTGAAGTCTACTGTGCTACTTGGAAGTGATCCAGTTTGGGAAGGTGGGATATCAGTTTCAGCTGCAGAAAACCATTTTAATTTACAGGAGTTCAGGGAACTCCCAGCCTGACACCACTTTGGATGGGATTTAGGCAAGGTAGCATGGAGGATGGGATTCATGCCAGCACCACAGGCATCTGGATTTGGGTAGAGAAAGAAAAAAAAAAAAAAAAAGGAGTTATTGACTGTCTTTCACTTGTTTTGTAGCTTTTTAAAGCTGGAGCTCCTGTGGCAGTGACAAATCCATCCACAGTTAAATGGACCACAGCAGCTGAGTAGATGCATCTGGAAGAATAACACTTGTGTTCCACCTTGTTCTCTAAGCTACACCATGGCATCCAGAAGAGCTCGCAAAGTCTTTGGGAGAGGTGATGGATTTTCTGTTAGGCTGGAGTTGTCCTCTTTAAAGTGACATTTACATTTATATCAGACAGAGCTTTTTCTGACCTGTGATTCTTCCATCATTTTTGGCTAATAGCAGCAGAAGATGGCTCCACATTGTCTGGAGGTCAATATTTAGATGACTGTGGGAGGGGGATACAGGGTAGTGCTCTCAGTGGTATTCAATGGAAAGCTGGGGGAAAGGGCAGCCCAGTTTTTATTCCACATTTGATGCCATCAGTTTAGTTTTTGCTTTACTTTAACTGAGGCCAAGGAAGCCTTGGTTACATATGGTACATCCCAGTGCCTTTCTTAGCAGACAGTGGCCACACATGGCATTTCAAGACCGCAACAGTCCCAGAAATGATGGCAACACTGTGTGCTAAGGTCATGCTGAAGTGTTCTGTTAGGCTGCACATCTAAGCAATTTCAATGTTTCCTTCCAGGACAGGATAAAGCACAGTTTCAATTTCTGAGGCTGATGAACACCTTTGTTTGATTTCCTAAGAAAAAATAAATAAATTCCTTCCATTGCATGTGTTATTTCTGTTGTTGCTGTATTTTAATATTTACAAAAGGAAGCTTCCAGTGGAAGTGCTCTTCAGGGCTCAGCTCAGCTTTCTCCTCAGGGACTCTCCTCCAGATCTCATCTGGGACTTCCCTTACTTTCTTCAGGTCCTGTGGGACTGGCATGTTCAACACCACACTGCATCTCTCCCTGTTTTGTCCCCCAGATTCTCAACACAGTCTTCTAACTGACCCAGCTCTCTGGATAATCCAGTTTCTGTTATCTGCTTCCATCTAACAATTTATCAGTAACCAGACCTGGTATTCAGCATTTCTGTAGCATTTGAAATTGGAAGGAGATTGAAGAGAGCACTGCTAATTAGCTCACAGTTTTTCTTCAGGTCACTGTTATCCTGCTGGAATGACTTAAACACCACAGTACAAAGTGACCAGCTGCACAGAGGGACCTGAACTCCTTGGAAGGTAATCTCTCTCCTTCTTTACTGAGAGCAATAGAAGGTCACCTCCATAGCTCTGGAGCTGAGAGATAGTGTACCAGATTTTGAGCTGGTATAAATCGGTATAGATCCAGGGGCACTTTGACCTCCAGTCTGTGTGCACAGTCTTAAGATTTTTTTGCACAACCTGGGAGTCTCCTGGCACGTCTGAATGTGACTGTCCTGGCTCCAGGAAGAAGAATTCCAGCCATTCCTGCTGGCTTCGTAGTTCCAGATCGGGGCTGTCAAAGCACGGAAAGATCTCTCTGTGATCTCAGGAGGAAAATTCAGGATGGAGAATGAAGGCATGCACATTGGAGCAGGTCAGCGGCCAGGATGCTTTGCCCCAGCCTTGCGGAGATTCATTTGAAATGGCCAGAACCCCTCTCCCATCACAGGCTCAGCCATCCGAATGGCACCAAGCCATCCAGAGAGAGAGCGTACTCCTCCTCAGCCCCACGCACCACGCCTCTGACTGCCTTGCCTCTGGGAGCAAAGGAGCGAGAGAAGCACTTTGCCTCCCACAGAATTGGGAACACAGCCAGAAAGCCCCTGGGAGTCCCTGACGCATCTCCGCAGCAACGCTTGGCGAGAGCAATGCATGCACCTCACGCCCACCCACCCACATGCGTGGAGCCAAGCTCTCACTTCTCATCTTCCTGTCCCTCCTTTCTCACCATGCTGGCTCCTTTGGGGCTGTGGATACAGCACTTACCAGATGACACGCTGCTCGTTTCTTGGCTTGTACTGCTGCTGGAGCAGTGCTCAACATGACATGGCTTGGTGGGGGCAAGATGAAATCCAGAGGTGTCTGTTTGTATGGCTGGAGGTGTGCAAGGCTTGGACAGTCCAACCAGTCCGGAAGTGGGACCAGCAGAGGGCACTCTGGTACTGCTGCTCACCCACCAGACCCAGACCTTGGTCAGGGAATGGGGTCATCCCAAAGCCCTGTCGGGCTGCATCCTGGGTGTAGGATGAAAACGGGATCAAGAGAATGGAGGAGAGGGCTGCAGCCCTGCTTTCCTCACTGCAGAAAAGGGAAGGAGGAAGTGGATGAGGAGGCTGCAAAGGAGAGGTGTCCCAGGGACTTCCACATCTGTTCCATCAGTTCACTGCAATCCCAGCACATGGATGCAGATGGTGGTTGTACAGCCTTGGATTTTTCTCTTTGAGACCTTGGGTACAGTATGACTCTGGTACAGGGCAGCAGAGGGAAGGCAGCATCTTTCACTACCTGGAAGGGCTGCTGAGCCTGAGGCTTAACAGCAGGACAGCTCTGTGCCTGTCAGTCTCTGAGGTCTACTGCTGGTGCTGTCCCCTTCCCCAGCTATCCTGGTGGTATCCATCAAGAGGGACTGTCCTGCTCGTTTCCGTGCAAAGTCTAGACATCTTCCTCATTACAAAGTAGTGTGACAGCTACATGAGAAAATGGTATTCCCCAGAGATCTTGGGGCTGGGGGGTCTCCTGCCTCCTCTGAAGAGGTGACAGGAGCTGAGCACCTTCCTACGTGCTCAGAGAGCCTGAGCGCCTGGTGGCTTTGCTGCAATAAATCTGGAGCAGCTATAAATCTGGAGCAGCTGGCTTAAGTTCCTCCAGGGTTCATAAGAAAAAAAAACAAACATCCAGCCTGATGTTTTCTGTTTGCCCACTCACTGTGCTTTTAATTGGAATGTTTGTAGCTTGGAAAATTGCTTCTTAGACTACACTACCCACAGTCCTTCGCTGGCAGCTTAGCGTAGCCTGTCAGGACAAGCAAAACCCACACCTCTGGATGGGGTCTCCTTGCCTGACCATGCAGGCAGCTGGAGGTCTTCTGTCACGCCTGACAGATGTACCTCTTGGTCTCAGTGGTCAAAGTCTGGTGAGACGAGTGAGAAATGCGGCTGTGATTCCCAGGTCCTAACAAAATCAGCTCTCCTGAGTCTCTCTCTTTCCCATTCCTGCCAAACCCCGTCCAGAACTTTTTCTAAATGAAACTTGAAGTCCAGTTTGGGAGAGATCACAAGGCAGAAACAACAAGCATAATGAACCATATTTGAAATGATATTTTTTCTGCCTTTGGAGTTTGGTTAATTTATAATCTATAAAAGTCTCTGCATAATTGTGTCTTGATTAAAATGGTATAATTAGGCGCTCTGGATCTCTCTCCCCTTTCCCTAAGATTATTTCTGTCTAATTGCTTTAATCTGTGTTTTCATGCACCCACTAGAAAATCAAAGCGTGCTCCCATGAGGACGCGGGTGAGAGTGAATAAAGCTGACGACTCATTAAGTGCAGCAGAGAGAGGAAACTGCATCTAAATCACTGCTACATTAATGAGGTAAAATAAAAAAATCGAAACGAATAAATAACAAAGAGAGAGAGGATCTAAAAAAACCAACAACAACAACAAAAACCCCAACCTGACATAGATTTTAATATTAATTAAGAATGTATTGAATAGCAAATTGTCTGTCATTAAAGCCAACTTCCTCCATTGTTGATGGAGAGGAAAAGGTCTGGGGACTGGATGGTGCTTTGTGGAGGGGGCAACTTGTGCAGAAGTAGGGACAGAATGAAGGTCATCGAGCAGGGTTTGAAGGATCTGAGTGGGAGAAGTGCCGGCTTAACTTTTCAGTTTAACAGTGATGCCACAATTAGCCTGGATTCGAGTGAGAACAGGATCAGACTCCAGGGAGAGCAGAGTGGGACTCCTGCATAAGCTCTGCATATGGGCTGGCTTTCTGCATTGCTGGGGAGGAGGGGGGGGGAGGGGGAGAGGGCCATGGCATGGCCCCTTGTCCATCCCAAGTCCATCTGTCCCAGGTCTGGCCCCAAGACCAGAACATCTCTCCCTTCCAGGTGTCTTTCTGTCTTCTTATCAACAATGCTATAAACTCTGCTAGCCCCAGTAACCTACAAACAGGTCACTCGTTTCTCTCCAAGTGAGCAGTCGAGAAAACAAGGTAATTTTAGAAGGCTTCCGGCTATGTTTGTGTTTTGTTAACTGCTTTAGTCTCCTGAGGACAATACCAAGGTAGTGCTGTCCTCTGGTCCCTTGTTCTTGCTTGCAGGGGAGACTAACTGTGCTGTAAGTTGTTTGCCTAGCTCAAGTGCAAGTGCAAGTGCTCAAACGTTGTGCTGCAGAGGCTGCCTTTTACCCCTGCTATGATAGAACAGCTTTGTGACCCAGGTAGGGCACACTCTGCTTGTGAATTTGGTGTTCTGCACTGTTGTGACACAGACATGATTCATGCTGGGGTTAGTGATCTGACCACTCAGAAATGGGACGGCAGGGGGATTTCATCTTAAGTTGCCTGTGACTACATGATTTGCCCTTAACTCACCCACCTCCCCCCCACCTCTTCCCCCATCATGAAATGTACTCTCACATGCAGCTGTATAAAGGTATTCAGACAAAAATTGGTGACTCTGTCTCCTTGTGACCTTCGTAATGATTGCTATACTCTAGTTCATATTTTCTCCAGACACAGATGCATTGTTTATGGAAAGTTGTAAGGGAACGTGGCTAGGAAAACCAAAAACATTGCTTGACTTATGAATAGGAGCTGTTGGCTCAGAGGAAGGCTTGTCCCAGCTACTTAACCCCTACTCCAATGGCAGGGCAGGCCTCAAAGCTTTGCAGAGGCCTCAGTGCAGGGGTAAGGGCATGAATTTAAATGCTCTGCCTGACCACAGCTCTTGGTCCCTAAGACTTGGCCTTTCAGCATCCCTTGAAGACCAAGCATGGTTGATGGTCATGTCAGAGTGGCAGCTGAGAGGGTAATACTGAAAAAGAAAGCAGGATCAGCTGCTTGTAGTCCTTGAGTTCAATAAGAGTCTAATCTAATTAAATGGAGACCACTATCAAATTACCAGCTCTCTTTTAATGTAGCCATTTTAAGTGGTTCAGTGTATTTATAGTAGGCGAGTTAGGGAGGGCTCTTCTCTCTTGAGGTTATGCTTGTGTATGAGGGAGAGATGTATAACAATGTTAAGACTAAAGCTTTGAATTGTTTCCTGATTCCAGCCTGGAAAATACCATGCACAGGATTTAAGACATTGAAATCTGCTCCCAGATAGCCACTGCCTACGTATGTGAATGTAGTGCTTGTTTGGGTTTGTTTCTTTTCTTGCCCCAAGCCAGCAGCACAGAAGTTTCCTTTCAGAATTAAGCTTCACTTGAAGCAAATGTACCTTGTGCAACAGGCTCACATCAGTCAATAGCTATGAAAGGCAATGAGGAGGTCAAATGCTGTGGTTGAATCTGGGAACTTTGGTGGGAGTGGGATGGAGCTGTCATCAATGGCTAGAAGGCGAACGGAGAGGCTCTCAGCCCCACAGCCTGGCTGATGGCGTGTCCCTGATTTGTCTTCCCTTTAATACTGTCTCTCCTCCAGCCCTTTCTGTTGCTCTCCCCGTAATCCCATCTCTGGGGGAGTTCCTGTGTGGTTGGATCTGTGTCAGACGATCCCCCGGGCTCACAGGGGGAGGAGGTGGGAAATGTTCATTGGGAGCAGTTTCCATGCAGAACGACAGTAATAATC